GCAGTCTTACTTTGCCAACTTCAAACTTTTCGGTTATTTATTTGAGCGAGAGTATCAGCTAAGCTTCGCCTGTTCACAATACAGAGCCACATCAGTCAGACAAGGTGGTGCTCCCAGCGATTTCCTCATGGCTGTGTTGATTTTATGCTCCATTGCCTCCACTGCCGTCATCGTCACTTCGTAGACGAGCAGCGGCCAGAGAAGTTTTGGGATCAACATAAATTGGAGACACCAGACCTTAAACTGCCCGATTAGCCTGCAACGCTCATCGCGAACAGGCCTTTAGCCAGTAATTCATGTATTCGCCGGATCTCCGCTCTATCAGACAACTTCGAATTGTAAACGCGCCCAAGGCTCTTCACCCGTTCCTCTAGAACCGTGGGGATTTGATTCCTGGCCACCGTGAAACTGATCGCGGCCACCTTACCTTTCAGGATTGACACTCCTCGACTTTTGCGGTTTGAACTGCATACCGCACCATTGGACCACCTCATCCAGTCTTTTCTGAATCGTGCGGGCAGACTCTTCACTGTCCGTGATTTTAGTCGTGTCATCCATAAATGCACGTAGTGGCGGCATCCAGTGGTCCCCAATCTGAAGGCCTTGTCCGTAGCCGGCCGCCCCGTCTAACATGACATGCATGGCCATAACGAACAGTATTGGCGAGATCGTACATCCCATGGCTATCCCAGCCTGGAGCTCAGTCCATCTTCTAGTGAACGTCGGGGTAGAGAAGCACAAAGCGAACTTTGAGAAAGTATGTTCGATCATTCGGTTGATATGTGTCGGTACGTGGAACATGCGGAGAGCTTATGAGGAACCGCCCCATAGGCGTTGGCGAGGTCCAACCATATCACGTACAACTGAGTTCTCTCTGCTTTGGCACTCTGAATAGACTCCCAGATCACAGTCGCGTGTTCAAGGCACACAGGGACGCCTGGGATTCCACTTTTCTGAACAGTCTTATCGATGTATTTGTTCGCCATCAGATACTGTGTGAGCCTGCGAGCCATAATGGAGAAGAATATTTTCCCCTCAACATTTAACAGCGAAATACGTCTAAATTGGGACAGACTTGTGGAGTCTCGCTCCTTGGGAATGCAGACCCCGTTGGCCCTTTGCCACTTGGGACATATGTTATTGATATAAAGTTTACCGGCCATCGGTCTCCTGTTGACTTATATCAATTTTTTTTTTTTAAAGGTGGAAGATGCTAACACGGGTTTGAAATAGCATTTAAGACAAAAGGCAAGTCGGAACCTAGAGAAACATTCTACATGAGGCACTTAAGAATGGCGAGGGGCATTCGCTGACATGGGTGGTAGCACAGTCTGAAGTCACGATCAGAACTGTTTGTGCTACTGGCAAGATAGAGGGTGAAGATAGCGGATGACGAGACAAGGATCACAGTGTCGCCCAACGAAACATACCGATGCAGAGTCAAAGTTACCGTGGACCGATGTTGCCGGGATAGCTGGTGAAATAGAGACATCATGTGTGTGTGTGTGACTACTGATTGCATCGTATAGACTCACGCCTAGCATTATTGTCGCCATCATGTAGAATGTCCTGTCTACAGAACGTCGCTCCCATCACTGCCGGTCAGGAAAAACCTGTCCCTCGCTAGCTCTCCTGTCTTTCATTGGATTATAAACAATTATCAATGTCAAGTTTCAAAATAGCAAGTAAGTCTTTGATCAGTAATGCGGAATTCCAAAAGCTGTTAAGTTTGTAACCAAATGTGATCTTTACATCTGGTGCAAGTGTCGTTTCAAAATCGCACATACGATACGAAAAATTTTTTTTTTTCGGGAAGGAAGGACGTTACTAGTTCGACACCAGGAAAGTTGTGTTTAATCAGTTCAGTAAACGGGTAGATGGGTACCGGCCTATCTGAACAAATCCCTGCCCCTGTTGGTGGACAGCTTGTACTGGTGAGTTGCTGCCCTTAGACTGTGTGATAACGAACCTCTTTCTGTGTAACCAGTCGTGTGTGTATGTGGTTAATGTAGGATAATTTTTGATAATTAACAATTAGTGAATGATGTGCCCATTAAAATATCGACCGACTTTACTTTCCATAACATTTCCAGGTACTCATTTTAGGCGGGGATCACAGCAAAAAAATTACCACTTGGGCGGAAATGACAAAACATGGCTACTTCCCTAGTTCCACATCTAAGTCTATAGGGATCGTCACAGGAGCCGTGGAGTTTGTGCTGCTAGTCTGATAACTGCAACTCAGCCATATACATTTTTTGGCCTAAAGACTGCGAAACGACTTACATGGGCTATGTTGCTACGGGATAGGATGCATGCCCTCGGAATGTTACCCTTGCCTTTCTTGCTGGTGCTTAATCATAGACTTTTAATGTTGCTAATCTGTGCATTGCTGTGGCCGTCGTCCTTTTCTCCAACAGTCCCCACTGCTAATTTGTATGGAGCCTAGATATTGACAGTCTGTGACACTTTCTTCATCATCTATTGTTATTTTGGGTGATAGGCAGTTTTGTTTGTCAAAACTGTTTAGTTTTAGATGTTTAATAGATGAAAAATAGTCTGGGCGGGGAGTGTTCTTTGGTGCGTAAGACTTCGAATAGCACCAACAGGGTTTACGTCCAGGGCTGTTGTTGCTAATATTAGCAACTGTTGTCATGATGTTGTTGCTAATATTAGCAACTGTTGTCCTGATGTTGATGGTAATGTCAGAGTAGACTTCTCTGAGTGGGTTCTGAGGCCCTATCATAGAGAGAAGAATAGACCTACTGCCTACTGTATAAGATGCCTAATTGGGAGATTTCTTTGAAGTCGGAATGCATCTACTTGAGAGGCAAGGAATCAACAGTCTGCATACAAATTAGACAGATCTGTCAAATGGATGTAGGCATAAAACTCAGGTTTTGGAGCAGGACTAGTCCAAAAGTGGACGAACAACCAGAACTTTCCACCACATTTTACAGCTTGTGAACACGAAGAAGAAGAAGAGAAGAAGAAGGAGGAGGAGAAGATGAAGAAGAGGAAGATAAAAAAAAAGAATACCAGACTAACAATTAACTAGAACTAAAGACAACACTAGAATTAGGGCAACTAGACAGTGACAACAAATAGGGCAACTAGACAGTGAACAAAAATAAAGCAACTAGACAGTGACAACTAATAGGGCAACTAGACAGTGACAACTAATAGGGCAACTAGACAGTGACAACAAATAGGGCAACTAGACAGTGACAACAAATAGGGCAACTAGACAGTGACAACAAATAGAGCAACTAGACAGTGACAACAAATCCACATCTGAATAATGTGGAAACAAGATGTGGATTAATCACTTGTCTTCAAAGGTCTGATGATCGCAAGTACACTGACGGTACACTTTTCAACAAATACATTGGTTAGTACCTGGTATTTGAATTGTCTGGTACAGTCTCTGAAACTCTGACATTCTACGAAAGGTAACTACCGTGTGATTACCTTGATGACACTGGTAACTACAGGGTGATCCCATAATGTCATTGGTAACTATAGTGTGACCTTATAATGACAATAGTAACAGTGGTGTGATGCCCAAGATGACACTGGCAACTATGGTGTGACTCCATGATGACAATGGTAACTATGGTGTGATCAGTATGATGACAACGGTAACTATGGTGTGACTCCATGATGACAATGGTAACTATGGTGTGACTCCATGATGACAATGGTAACTATGGTGTGATCCCTATGATGACAATGGTAACTATGGTGTGACTCCATGATGACAATGGTAACTATGGTGTGACTCCATGATGACAATGGTAACTATGGTGTGACTCCATGATGACAATAGTAACTATGGTGTGACTCCATGATGACAATGGTAACTATGGTGTGACTCCATGATGACAATGGTAACTATAGTGTGACTCCATGATGACAATGGTAACTAAGGTGTGATCAATATGATGACAATGGTAACTATGGTGTGATGCCCATGATGACAATGGTAACTATGGTGTGATGCCCATGATGACAATGGTAACTATGGTGTGATCCCTATGATGACAATGGTAACTATGGTGTGATCCCCATGATGACAATGGTAACTATGGTGTGATCTCCATGATGACAATGGTAACTATGGTGTGATCTCCCTATGATGACAATGGTAACTATGGTGTGATCCCTATGATGACAATGGTAATTATGGTGTGATCCCTATGATGACAATGGTAACTATGGGATGATGCCCAGGATAACAGTGGTAACTATGGTGTGATGTCCATGATGACAAAGGTTACTGTGATGTGATCCCATGATGACACTGGTAACTATGGTGTGATGTCCATGATAAAAAGGTAACTATATTGTGATCAAAGATGACAATAATAACTAATCTGTGATCCTGTCAGTTAGTCGACAGATCACATTCATTGCACATTCAGTCGATAAGTGCTTGGATCCCCTCCTCTGTAAATCCCCCAGCATGCAGCAGCAGCTGAAGACAGTAGTTCTGTGTAACTTTTTTATTCCTGTTTGGCTTCCAGTGCAGTGCTTTTGTCTGGCCACAACCCTTTTAACTTGCTGTTTTCACAGTTGGATCATGAATGCAGATTAACTGAAGATTAATGTGTGTGTTGAATAGGACCAGCAAACCCTGACAAAATACTGCGGTGAAGGAAGAAGTCCACTAAAGAGTGTAATTATCTCAGGTTAATGGAAAGAAACAAGTTAATGTATTCTTTAGAACAAATAAGGAAGAAAAGCAAAAAGAAGAAGTCCACAATTTTGGTTAGAGAGTATCAGTCTCTGGTCAGATGTGACTGACGTTAGCTTTTAATTGATTCTTTACAGAAATGATAATCATAAATATAATGTAGACAAAAATGTTGATATGGTGAGAAGTAACATCTAAGATATAATACTGACAATTTGTTTCAAACAAAAAAGATCCTATAAAATCGAAAAAATGCAAATAGCCTTAAAAACTTGATGTATCAAAATAGCTGATTAAGTAAATGTTAAACCGGATTAAACTTCAACCAATTGCGAAGAATATTGGTCTCTTGTTCCCGTGCGCCTCTGACTGCTCGGGTGTCGTTATCATTGTGGGTCCTCAGATCCAAGTGATGTGCCCCTTGCGGAATTTGAATAGCGATAACCGAGTCAGAGATGGACTGCAAGACCCCTCCACTGGACCATGGATCTAACAAGCCGTTACTGCAAAATAATATCATCGCCACATATGATCGTCATTGTATTTGCACACACACACAAACACACACAAACACAAATTAATAAATAAAACAAACAAACACAAACATATACAAAATGAGTAGGATTATATCTTCTAGAATTCAGTCTCTCCCGTCTTCTCTCTTGCTCTCTGTCTATACTACATGTGTATGTGCATTACTTCATGGTGTGTGCGTTCATTTGTATGCGTGTGACAGGAAGAGACAGCTTGTGTCTGTGTGTGGGATTTTTATAAAGCATGGGTGAACTGAAAGCAAACTTCTTCTTCTTCTTTGTGTTCGGTTTCGTATGCTCAGATCAGACCATCAGGTGAGCTGCCTCTATAAACTCGCATGTCAGCTGCAGGTCCTGCAAGGTTCCCCATAGCTTGCTCTGCACACTTTGCTCTTGAGGCCAGGTGTCTTTTTGAAGTTATAGGTAGAGTGGGCAGGTCTGCAGAATGTGCTCAGGTGTTTGTGGTCCTGTTTGACAAGCACACTGTGTGGACTGTACAATCGTTATTTTATGCATGTGGTAGTTGAGCCTGTTGTGTCCTGTTTGTAGGCGGAATGGTTCAGTATTGGTTCTGTGCCAGCTCTCTCCTGATATCATCGTTCCTAATTCGATCTTTACTTGTTACATCTAGCATAATACGTAAACATTTTATTTATTTCATTACAAAATCCATGTTTCACACTGATATCACTAGTAAGAATATTGTGTTCGAGTGTTCTTGTTGTGTTTATATTCACTATTCAAGAAAGTTTAGAAACACAGTGATGGGTCCAGCCAATAGAAACACTGTGACGGGTCCAGCCAATATAAACACTGTGACGGGTCCAGCCGATAGAAACACTGTGACAGGTGCAGCCGACTGACATTTGTTTATTTAGTGCTCACAGAAATATGAAGAAAAGTTACACTGACCTGAAGATAATTCTGGAGACACCGTTCAGCAACTTGCCCCAGTATTCCAGAGTAATCCAGTTCTCACGGGGACGAACTTTGTACCTGCTGTAACAGTCGTCACTGACCTTCTGGAAGTCCCAGGTCACGTCATAGAACATTCCGCTGGAGTTACTGCACATGGGCATCACCATTTCTGTACAGGACTTGTGGGGCAGAAAACACACTCAGTTTAGGGTCAAAATGGTCTGGGGTCAACACACAGTTTGAGGTCAACATGTGGTATGGTGTCAACACACACAGTTTGAGGTCCACATGTGGTCTGGGGGTCAACACATACAATTTAGGGTCAACACACACTGTTTGAAAAATTTTTAACAGGACTTAAGGGGTGAGAAAACATATGCAATGTGAACTCTCAAGAATGACCTTAAAAAATTAACATATCTTCATATTCTCTGTGAAGCCTTTTAATGCTTTCTCATCAGTAGTTATTTTTGTGTTAAAAAAGCCAACACTGAATCACCACAAATGAGATGGTTTGGTCATCTGATGAGAATGCTCTGGTACGAACTACCACTGAGAGCCATGTTTAACCAGATCCCCATGGGAACGCTAAAAGAAAGGGTCGTGACCCCATGGGAAATCATGAAAAAATCCTTTAAAAAAATAAAAATACATTAAAATTGAACATATGCCAATAAAAAATGTTTGTTTTATTCATTAGCATTTTTTCCCTGGAATAAATAAAGATACACAAAGGGAATAAGCAATAAATGGGAGCAGCATGAAGCATTGAATGGAATACAATTCCCAGAGTCTAAAATTTTATGTACTGGATGAACGACTCATTCTATGACCCTATAACCTCTATCATTGAGACTACGGAAAATAATGATGTCAACATGGTTTTAAACAAGCCATTTGGTTCATAAGCAAACTCCCTAAATGCTTTTTATAGTAACATATTCATATCTTGACCTCCTAAAATCTGTGCAGGCATGAACTCAGCCAAAAGCATTAATCATGCATGTTGTAAATGTCAATCTAGATAAGTCGGAAAAGTGACATTTAAGGGGAAACTGGACCCAACTGGAAGGGTTGGTTTTGCAGTTTCTATGGACAAAAGGTAAAAAAATAAAATTGAACGATGGCACCCAGAAGAGAAGTGCAGATCAACTTATACACTGTATCAGAGAGAGCACATAGATTATCCCCCCCCCCCCCCAACCCCCATCACTTTGCTGAGGTAACTGAGGAAGGAGAAGAAGAAGGCTTTAAATCCCATCCATTTAAGATCTAATTAACCTAGCATGCATATACTCTTGTTCACTCAGTGCATGTTCACTAAAACTCACAAAAAAGTGTCACTATCATTTCTGGATTTACTTTGCTGAAAGGAGGGATAGTTTCAAGATGTCACTCTCTCTATTCTGAAGTACCCTTCTTTGTTCAACTGTTGTCATATAATTAGACTATCTACATGTTCGGTGTCTTGACCATCAAGATGAGAGCACAGACAGACTTGAATGTCCAGTTAACCTCAAGAGCTGTGCCTCATATTTGAAAAGTGACCACTTTAACAGGTATGTTAATGACCCCCCCCCCCTCCCCCCTTTCTCGGATCCTGGAGAAATGGTAATAAATCTTGCCTACTCAGAGCAGGGCTAATACATAGATATGTAATTACATAACAAAGTTGCCTTTAGAATACATAGATATGTAATTACATAACAAAGTTGCCTTCAGAATTTAACATTTTTTTTTTAAGTAGACAGTGAGGGGGATTAAACAGGTCACCATCTTGCTGAGACTCAAAACATGAAAACATAAATCCTCCAACTATAAAATTTTTGTTTATTTATATGAAAGTCGTGGTGCAAAATACCACATTAGCTTCTGGGAATTAAGTTAGAGGTAACCAGAAAGTGATGATTGGTGGAGTAGTCACAACGCCATGATTTACAGGCAAGTCACAGAGTGATGATTTACAGGGAAGTCATAAAGTGATGATATGGGGAGGAGTCACAAAGTGATGATTTACAGGCAAGTCACAGAGTGATGATTTACAGGGAAGTCACAAAGTGATGATTTACAGGGAAGTCACAAAGTGATGATTTACAGGGAAGTCAAACATTTATGATTAATGGTAGTCATACACAGACTCCACAGAAGCAAATCAAGAGGCATAACCCACATGCAATGGATTAGCAGAAGAGGGTGTCGCCAAACACCTCCTTAAAAAAGTCCATACAAATATTCTACCCCAAAAGCTTGTCTTACTCTCAAGCTAAAAGACATTTCAGGGAAGTTAAAGAAAAAAAAAGACACGGGGAACATGCCTATAAAATGTGATACCAATCTACGTGATGTGATTTGAAACCATACCAATCTACGTGATGTGATTTGAAACCATACCAATCTACGTGATGTGATTTGAAACCATACCAATCTACGTGATGTGATTTGAAACCATACCAATCTACGTGATGTGATTTGAAACCATACCAATCTCCGTGATGTGATTTGAAACCATACCAATCTAGGTAATGTGATTTGAAACCATACCTGATAATCCCATCCCTGGTAACCCAGAGATCCAGTGCTACCATCATCTGTCCAGTTAACACATTTAGTCTCACCAGTGTAGTTAAAGTAGAGATTGGTCACTTGTGACAGGGCTGTCAACAGGGCCTCTCCTTTCAAGGGTTCAGCTAGATAGCTGCAGGCAACCTGTATGTTCACAAAGGTAAGAGCAATCAAACAACCTGTATGTTCACAAAGGTAAAAGCAATCAAACAACCTGTATGTTCACAAAGGTAAGAGCAATCAAACAACCTGTATGTTCACAAAGGTAAGAGCAATCAAACAACCTGTATGTTCACAAAGGTAAGAGCAATCAAACAACCTGTATGTTCACAAAGATAAGAGCAATCAAACAACCTGTATGTTCACAAAGATAAGAGCAATCAAACAACCTGTATGTTTACAAAGGTAAGAGCAATCAAACAACCTGTATGTTCACAAAGATAAGAGCAATCAAACAACCTGTATGTTCACAAAGGTAAGAGCAATCAAACAACCTGTATGTTCACAAAGGTAAGAGCAATCAAACAACCTGTATGTTCACAAAGTTAAGAGCAATCAAACAACCTGTATGTTCACAAAGATAAGAGCAATCAAACAACCTGTATGTTCACAAAGTTAAGAGCAATCAAACAACCTGTATGTTCACAAAATTAAGAGCAATAAGACAACCTGTATGTTCACAAAGGTAAGAGCAATAAGACAACCTGTATGTTTACAAAGGTAAGAGCAATAAGACAACCTGTATGTTCACAAAGGTAAGAGCAATCAAACAACCTGTATGTTCACAAAGATAAGAGCAATAAGACAACCTGTATGTTCACAAAGGTAAGAGCAATCAAACAACCTGTATGTTCACAAAGGTAAGAGCAATCAAACAACCTGTATGTTCACAAAGGTAAGAGCAATCAAACAACCTGTATGTTCATAAAGATAAGAGCAATCAAACAACCTGTATGTTCACAAAGGTAAGAGCAATCAAACAACCTGTATGTTCACAAAGATAAGAGCAATCAAACAACCTGTATGTTCACAAAGATAAGAGCAATCAAACAACCTGTATGTTTACAAAGGTAAGAGCAATCAAACAACCTGTATGTTCACAAAGGTAAGAGCAATCACACAACCTGTATCTTCACAAAGGTAAGAGCAATAAGACAACCTGTATGTTTACAAAGATAAGAGCAATCAAACAAACTGTATGTTCACAAAGGTAAGAGCAATCAAACAACCTGTATGTTCACAAAGGTAAGAGCAATCAAACAACCTGTATCTTCACAAAGATAAGAGCAATCAAACAACCTGTATGTTCACAAAGGTAAGAGCAATCAAGCAACCTGTATGTTCACAAAGGTAAGAGCAATCAAACAACCTGTATGTTCACAAAGTTAAGAGCAATCAAACAACCTGTATGTTCACAAAGGTAAGAGCAATCAAACAACCTGTATGTTCACAAAGGTAAGAGCAATCAAACAACCTGTATGTTCACAAAGGTAAGAGCAATCAAACAACCTGTATGTTCACAAAGATAAGAGCAATCAAACAACCTGTGTGTTCACAAAGATAAGAGCAATCAAACAACCTGTATGTTTACAAAGGTAAGAGCAATCAAACAACCTGTATGTTTACAAAGGTAAGAGCAATCAAACAACCTGTATCTTCACAAAGGTAAGAGCAATCAAACAACCTGTATGTTCACAAAGATAAGAGCAATCAAACAACCTGTATGTTCACAAAGGTAAGAGCAATCAAACAACCTGTATGTTTACAAAGATAAGAGCAATCAAACAACCTGTATGTTCACAAAGTTAAGAGCAATCAAACAACCTGTATGTTCACAAAGATAAGAGCAATCAAACAACCTGTATGTTCACAAAGGTAAGAGCAATCAAACAACCTGTATGTTCACAAAGATAAGAGCAATCAAACAACCTGTATGTTTACAAAGGTAAGAGCAATCAAACAACCTGTATGTTCACAAAGGTAAGAGCAATCAAACAACCTGTATGTTCACAAAGGTAAGAGCAATCAAACAACCTGTATGTTCACAAAGTTAAGAGCAATCAAACAACCTGTATGTTTACAAAGGTAAGAGCAATCAAACAACCTGTATGTTCACAAAGGTAAGAGCAATCAAGCAACCTGTATTTTCACAAAGGTAAGAGCAATCAAACAACCTGTATGTTTACAAAGGTAAGAGCAATCAAACAACCTGTATGTTCACAAAGGTAAGAGCAATCAAACAACCTGTATGTTCACAAAGATAAGAGCAATCAAACAACCTGTATGTTCACAAAGGTAAGAGCAATCAAACAACCTGTATGTTCACAAAGATAAGAGCAATCAAACAACATGTATGTTCACAAAGATAAGAGCAATCAAACAACCTGTATGTTCACAAAGGTAAGAGCAATCAAACAACCTGTATGTTCACAAAGATAAGAGCAATCAAACAACATGTATGTTCACAAAGATAAGAGCAATCAAACAACCTGTATGTTTACAAAGGTAAGAGCAATCAAACTACCTGTATGTTCACAAAGGTAAGAGTAATCAAACAACCTGTATCTTCACAAAGATAAGAGCAATAAGACAACCTGTATGCTTACAAAGATAAGAGCAATCAAACAACCTGTATGTTCACAAAGGTAAGAGCAATTAAACAACCTGTATGTTCACAAAGGTAAGAGCAATCAAACAACCTGTATGTTCACAAAGGTAAGAGCAATCAAACAACCTGTATGTTCACAAAGGTAAGAGCAATCAAACAACCTGTATCTTCACAAAGGTAAGAGCAATCAAACAACCTGTATGTTCACAAAGGTAAGAGCAATCAAACAACCTGTATGTTCACAAAGGTAAGAGCAATCAAACAACCTGTATGTTCACAAAGTTAAGAGCAATCAAACAACCTGTATGTTCACAAAGGTAAGAGCAATCAAACAACCTGTATGTTCACAAAGGTAAGAGCAATCAAACAACCTGTATGTTCACAAAGGTAAGAGCAATCAAACAACCTGTATCTTCACAAAGATAAGAGCAATCAAACAACCTGTATGTTCACAAAGATAAGAGCAATCAAACAACCTGTATGTTCACAAAGGTAAGAGCAATCAAACAACCTGTATGTTTACAAAGATAAGAGCAATCAAACAACCTGTATGTTCACAAAGTTAAGAGCAATCAAACAACCTGTATGTTCACAAAGATAAGAGCAATCAAACAACCTGTATGTTCACAAAGGTAAGAGCAATCAAACAACCTGTATGTTCACAAAGATAAGAGCAATCAAACAACCTGTATGTTCACAAAGTTAAGAGCAATCAAACAACCTGTATGTTCACAAAGATAAGAGCAATCAAACAACCTGTATGTTCACAAAGTTAAGAGCAATAAGACAACCTGTATGTTCACAAAGGTAAGAGCAATCAAACAACCTGTATGTTCACAAAGATAAGAGCAATCAAACAACCTGTATGTTCACAAAGATAAGAGCAATCAAACAACCTGTATGTTCACAAAGATAAGAGCAATGAAACAACTTGTATGTTCACAATGTCGCAACTGATGCACACTTCAGAGATTCTGTAGCATGTTGAGCTCTGTCATGTTCATTTGCTTGTATTTTTCGATGTTTTATACCCAAAGATGGTTGAGAGTAAAGGCGCTGTCAGTTTGCGTACTGTAGTGAGTCTCATTTTCTCCCAGATAATTTATGCCTAGACAGATGACGTCAGTAATAAATGTGAGTGGAATATTTTGAGTCTAACTGGGACAACACGGGAGTTGTTGATAGTCTAAATTTCACGGGAATTATAGAGAAATGCTGATAGTCAAACTTTGCGCGAAGTATAATTATTCATGTGTAGAGAAATGCTGACAGTCGAACTTCATGTGAAGTACGATGAGTCACGGGTCACACAAAACTGCCGGCCAAATAAAATTCGTGGGACTGAAGGGACACGGATAATTCGGGAATACGAAGCGGGGCATTAGAAGGCTATATAATGCCGAAGAAAGGGCTGAGAGTTAGTCTCGTTTGGGCCCAGGAACGGAGTGCATGGACAACGGTAGAAGATGAGTGGATCCAACATGTGTTTGAGTGTTATTGTTCCAACGTCCAACTTGGCAAAACAAGCTGGCAGGCAATATGTCTGCGGGCCGTGTTAGTTTTCCGTCAGGACAGCTGTTGTGTTTTCATTCATTATGCTAGTGTAGGACGATTGTGATTTCGGATAGAAGGTAATATTGATACTTTTGATATTTGAGTTTTAATGTGTGCCTGGACAGTAGTCCATTTCATGTGCCGGTTGTGTAAGCCGCGAGTGGAAGAATAAAGTGCTGAAACAGTTTCGTGTTGTTTTCCAGTCTTCCACTTTTTGCTCGTCGTGTGATGTCGGTGTATGAGATAGCAATCGTGCGATGTCGCGAGCCAGATAGAAGACCAAGGAAAGTCATCGCACGTACCCATGTTAGTAACTGAAGCAAGTTGTAGAGACTCAATAGCTTGTCTCAATGATATGTTCTTTCTTAGGAGCTTTATTTCAGCTTTAAGCGCATTTTGATCACCACTGATCAGATTGTTCCTTTCAGTAACAGAGGCAACCGTGACAGATTGTGTCTTTAGGTTTCTCTCTAGATCTTTAATGTGACTCTGACAAACACATGTTGGGATGTTGATGACTCTGGGTTTGCTAGAGTGGTGGTATTTTGGTTTGGTTCAACTGTGACATCTTTGGCCCGCAGCATTGGACACTCGATAGCTAGCAGAGCCGGTCGACCAGCAGCTACTGAAGTGACAATACATGCATTGCCTTGCAATGATTTAGGACTATTAACCAATGTCCTGTCCATGGTTGTGAGAATTGATGGAGCAGGTATGGCTATCTCAGTTAAGTTGGATATGTTGGAAGCAAGGGGTGTATTTAACACTTCCCTATATGTTTGTTGAGCGCTGTCTTTTGAAGTTTTAATAACACTTAGACACAAACCAGCTCACACTCTCTTACCCTCTATGAACCCAGCAACCAAGGTCTCACTGTCAGACATGACTAGATGCATGGCAAGTCAAGAGTTCACTAACACAACTGCTACCCACTAAAACAGCCAGGGTGGCCACGAATTCCCAACACTTGTGTTGAGGTTGATTGGTTAAAATTATCCCCGGATCCTGATTGGTCCAAACGAATCACAGAGTGTTTCATGGTTACTTTCACATTCTCACAATCCCCACATTTTGTTGAAATAAATAAAAACCGTGTCATTCTTCTAACTACAAAGAGACGATCACACTGATATACAATTCCATGTCAGAACAATGCAATTCATGAAAAAATAACTCAAGTGGAAGAGGTCGCTTGAACCCGTTCATCAGCGAGGGTTGCAGGAAGAAACAAACAAGGTAAGCTACTTGATGACGAAGCAGACGTGGTAAAGGCTTCCTGGGATCAAGTGGACAGTGCAGCAGAACAGACAGGGAAGCAGAACAGACAGTGCAGCAGAACAGACAGTGCAGCAGAACAGACAGGGCAGCAGAACAGACAGTGCAGCAGAACAGACAGTGCAGCAGAACAGACAGGGCAGCAGAAAAGACAGGGCAGCAGAACAGACAGGGCAGCAGAACAGACAGGGCAGCAGAACAGACAGGGCAACAGAACAGACAGGGCAGCAGAACAGACAGACAGGGCAGCAGAACAGACAGGGCAGCAGAACAGACAGGGCAGCAGAACAGACAGTGCAGCAGAACAGACAGTGCAGCAGAACAGACAGTGCAGCAGAACAGACAGGGCAGCAGAACAGACAGGGCATCCAGACATTGATAGACTAGTTCAGGGGGGGGGGGGGGGGGTGGAGCAGAGGGTCTGAAAGATATTCACAACTGAGGGAAAAATCTGGCGACTGCCAATTAGGCTTCAACTGGTACAATTAGTAAATCTGCTTTTTGTTGGCTACTGAAGAAGGGAAAGGGGGAATGTGTGGGAATGCCCCGATTGCAGGGATGTCAATTCTTGATTCATTCATTCATGTAGTGTGGGAGAGTCATTGTTTCAACTACACACTGAAACAGATGTTAAAAATGATCTATGTAGATATAGGGATGACACTGATCTTTTCTGAAATAGTCCTATGGAATTATAACAGTTAACCATCTCTGTCAAAGATACAATATAAGTTAACCATCTCTATCAAAGATACAATAAAGAGTAAAATCTTCTTAACTTTAAAAATTAAAGATAATGCACACAGACACAACAAAACAACCAGTACACTAATCAGCAACAAATACTGAAAATGCCATAAAATTGGAACCTCTTCGCTCGGTAATAATTAAACAATGGGCACTTTCTATTAGAAATCAGACTAACACTGTCTTTAACTAAGAAGAGATTGAACAGTAGTCAGAGGCCAAGGCACAAAAATGGCTTTAAAATTGGAGGGGGGGGGGGGGGGGGGGGGGGGGGGGGGGGGGGGGGGGGGGGGGGGGTTGGGGGTGGGGGGGGGGGAGGGGGGGGGGGGGGGGGGGGGGGGGGGGGGGGGGGAAGCATCTTTCCTTGTGAGTCATGGACTTTTTCACAAGTTTTTAAGGTACACAAATCACAGCTTTTGTACTCGAATATTACAGGATAATTGGTAGATTACCGTAAATACAGAAGAATACTGATGTGTTAAAAAAATGTGAGTCAGGGATTGACCAGCATGAAAAGGGGCATGGGATATTGAAGAAAAGACACCTTATCATTAAGACAGGAAAGGGATATTAAAGAAAAAGCACCTTATCATTTAAAACAGGAAAGGGATATTAAAGAAAAAGCACCTTATCAAGAAGATAGGAAAGGGATATTGAAGAAATGACATCTCGTGCATAAAGATAGACATAAGATACTAAAGAAATGACATCTTTAATGAAACAGCAACAGACCAATAAATTACTTTCTGCAAGATGCCTGCCATATGATGATAATGAACGGAGAAGATATAAACCTTTGTAGATGAAATTCATTAGTTAGTCAAAACACATCATCCTCAATGCACATGAAACGTTCAGTGGATAAATGCTTGGATCCCCTCAGTACATCTGATACATGTAGCAGCTGATGACTTCAGTTCTGTGCTGAGTTTATTCTTCTTCTTTGGCTTCCTGCATAGCGGTAGTATCTGGGCTCATCCTTCTGATTTGCAGTTTCTGCAGTCTGGTCATGGTTGCAGATTCAGGCATCACTTGATTTGCATAAACAGCTTAGTTCTCATAAATTATTCAGTAAGTCAACCTGATAACATTAGTACTGCACAATGTGAAAGACACTGTTTCAACTGCACAATGTGAAAGACACTGTTTCAACTGCACAATGTGAAAGACACTGTTTCAACTGCACAATGTGAAAGACACCGTTTCAACTGCACAATGTGAAAGACACTGTTTCAACTGCACAATGTGAAAGATACTGTTTCAACTGCACAATGTGAAAGACACTGTTTCAACTGCACAATGTGAAAGACACTGTTTCAACTGCACAATGTGAAAGACACTGTTTCAACTGCAAAATGTGAAAGACACTGTTTCAACTGCACAATGTGAAAGACACTGTTTCAACTGCACAATGTGAAAGACACTGTTTCAACTGCACAATGTGAAAGACACTGTTTCAACTGCACAATGTGAAAGACACTGTTTCAACTGCACAATGTGAAAGACACTGTTTCAACTGCACAATGTGAAAGACACTGTTTCAACTACAAACTCCCCATGTGGGTTCAGAGGTCCCAGTGTTGGAGTAATCAAGTATAGGCAAACTGCCTCCTCTACAAGAATGTTGTAGGAGTCGACTGATTAGGGTATTCCTTCTAAGTCAGAGTGCATCTGCCAGAGAGGCAAGGAACCAGTAGTCTGTACATACTTAGGCCAGATCTGTAAAACAGGTGCATGTGCGAAACTGAAGTCCTTGAACAAAGCTAAGTCTAGAAATGGACTAACAACCAGGACTTTCCACTGGGGTTTACCACCGGTCACCACAAACAAACAACCTTCAAAAAATCCTTCTTCTTCTTCTCGCTAACCTTCTCCTACCTTTCAGCTACAAACTAAAATATTAATTCAACTACGTACTTGAGAAAACACAGTTTAATAATACAGGAATATTTGATGAAGACATTTGTATTACCTGAATAGGCCAGGCTGGAAGTTCGGCCATGAAATTTGCTGCGTACGGGTAGTCAACCATGGCAAAGTTGACATACATATCAGCAAGAAATGCCTTAAATGGTTCAATGTCAGTCGTGCTCACAAGGGGAGTGCACAATTTGAAGGTGCTGCTGATGAAGTTTAGACCCCCGGCTGTCGAAAGAGGTCAACATTAACAAAAGATGAAGATCTAAATATACATTCAATTTATTTCCTACTCTTCTCTAACACTGTTCCTAAATGACCCCAAACAACACAAGGTGCATTCCTAATCTCACTGTCTCACCCATTTTTTACCCAAAATGTCACTAGCATCCTGTACCCCATTATTTTTAGACATTTCAATCACACAGGGCAAATGGCCACAGAGCAAACCAGATTTATTTTAGAATTATCTGGCCAAATGCAAAAGTAAGAAAACATATTAAATGATGGCTGGGACTCAGAGGAAAAAAAAGGAAAGGGGGGGGGGGGGGGGCACCATACAAACAAGCTGCTTGAGGCTGTAAGTGTTAACTAATAGTTTTCTAACTGAAAAAAGCTTCCCAATGTGAATCTATTGTCTCCGCAGGTTGGCAAGCATAAAATAAAACTCTTTCTAATGAAAATACAAGCATACCTTGTGATGCAATTATCTCCAGGGTCTGGTAGGATTGCTGAACATTAGCCACACAGATCTTAGAAGTCTGAAGCCAGGTGTTGCTGGTTGTTTCATAGAAAGCATTGCAAGGTGTGAGACCCGTAAACTGCCAGATTGGAGCTGAGGCTGCCAAAGCGCTGCATTCACATACACAATAAAAAAAAAATTATGAACAACCAGCAAGTTAACTTCAAGACACATCAGATACGCTCTACCTCTTCTCCGTCATGATGCTCACCAGCTGTGAACTCCGGAAAAAAGTTCTGGATGATCATCTACTTCTGGACTTTAGTTTTTTTTTAAACTCTGAGTTTTGCATGCACGTCCGTTTTACAGATCTGGCTTATCTGTAGGCAAACTGTTGGTTCCTCGCCTGTTTGGCTGATGCTCTCTGACTTAGAAAACAAACATCCCTAATTAATCTATTCTTACAACATTCTTGTTAGGGAGCAGTGGCTCTAATTTATTTGTCACCACAATGTGACCCTGAACCCACACAAGGAATCAGATCAACTGAAAGTGTCCCCACAATGTGACCCCGAACCCACACAAGGAATCAGATCAACTGAAAGTGTCAACTCAGTGAGTAGTTGTGGTCAACACAGTGGCTAGCATGCTTGCTCTGTGGTCAAATCCCCTTTCAGTCAGACATTCTTTTCCCACTAGCCTTGGCTCTCAGGCTTACCCAGCATACAGCAGGTACCAGGAAATTTTCTGGGAATAAAGGCGACCACAATGATATGGACCACATCACTCAAGTGCAGACTGGCCCCAAAAAAATTGAGAACTAGTATCATATACCCAGTACACCGCAGATCTGTGCTTCATGGTTTACCTTGTCTTAGAGTCCCGAACTCTCCTGTTTGACCCTAGTGTATTTGACTGTTGTCCAAACTACATTATGAAAACCGACAGATGCACTCAATTTTAAAACAGTATAGTTAAGTATACACAAATAATCTTACCCATATATTATATTTGGGTATCTTATTCTGAACCAGGCAGCCAGCATCCCTCCATACGAGCCACCGAAAGCAATCACTGGACTGTTTGCTGCCCCAGGTGTGTTGACTTTGATAAACTGAACGAGCTCGGCAAAGTCTGCAAGTGCTTGCTCAGACGTCAAGTAGTTCAGATTTGAAACATTCTGTAAGATGTTCCAAAGTAACTTTTAAATGTCACTAACAAAATATGCAGAAGAAGAAAAAAACTATGCAGAAAAAAAGATAATTATACAAAGAATTACTGCCTCTAAATCTTACAATTAGAAGCTATGAAAACTCTGCTCTCTGCAAGTAGATGAGTGTGTGTGTGTGCTTTAGTTTATGCAAAATTACCTAAACTGAGCATGGAAATCTTCATAAGTGATCAGTCTCTATCTACAGGTAACAGTGAAAGGATGTAAACAAGCATAACCTTCAGAACACTAGAAATCTCTATTAAATCTTCCCTCTCCTTGTCTGAGTTCCACTTAGGCACAGTCTCCTGCCACAGGCCTGTATGTAAGACTTGTCCATATGTGGTTCAGGGGAAAAGTCTGGAATTGCTGAATTGCCCCCTTCCACACACATGAGGCATTCTATTGCACAAGTCACAATATCATTTAAACCATCAACTGCAAGAGATGTGGCATGAAATACACTGGGGAAACAGGTCTAGGACTGGCTGACAGGTTCAGACATCTTTTGGATGTGCAGAACGGTGCCCTGAAACCAGTAAAATTGCACTTCAATTGCAAGGGTCACCAAGGTGTCCAGGATATGGAGGCAATGACCAATAAATCTAGCCACTCCAGCGACACAGTCCACAAGTCTTTTGAGAATCACTTTATTTTCACTTTGGGTATACAAACACCAAGTGGACTGAACTATTCAACAGAGTTTCATTAAAAATCTTCTCGTTATGGCCCTTGACAAGCTGGGGGTATTTATTGCTGGGCCACACATGTCTTTTCATTCCACTGATAAGACATCAACATGGCTGCTTTGGGATACATTGGTTAAGTCATACTGTGTATTCGTGTGGTTTTGTTTGATTTACGTATGTGCTGATGAAGGCTCTGTATCCGCAGCATTCAGTTTTGTTTGTGTTTGCTATATTGTGAAGCTCGCTGAATTTACTTCTCATTCAATTTTACATCTTTCCCCAATATTGCCTCTCCTGAGACAGGTAAAATACTGGGAGTGTCTCAACACTGTGTTAGAACTCTGTAGTACCAGTTAGGGCACAAATATATGTACACAAGACCAACAAATGATTTAATGTTTTTGTAGGTAGGTTTTATAACTTTGAACATTTGCCTTGGCATCAGCTTAAAACGTCAAAACATTTTACAGAGTTTTAATTTTATTTTTTTTTTTAAATCTTTTAGATATGCAGACAATGCAAGCGCCCCCCCCCCCCCCCCCCCCCCCGCTCCTTTTTTTTCCCAGACCCATAAACTCCAGCCCACTTAGAAAAGTATTCATCGATATTTATCACACAAGAAAACATGATAGCTATGTGGAATACAAGCACTAACTATATTTAAGAAAAGCATTAAAAACAGAAAATGGTACAATTTGATGAAACAACTAAATGAGTTAGGAAGTATCACCTGGTAGGTTGCTGAACCAAATGGAAGTGACTGTCCATAATATCTGTGCTCAGCAAACACCAAAAGAGCCCTGAAATCTGGTGCAATATCCCACATGAAACCCTGAAATGTTAATTGTTACAGCAAGTAAACTAGTATGAAATCCGGTACAATATCCCACATGAAACCCTGAAATGTTAATTGTTACAGCAAGTAAACTAGTTTGAAATCTGGTGCAATGCCCCACATGAAACCCTGAAATGTTAATTGTTACAGCAAGTAAACTCTGGTGCAATGTCCCAAATGAAACCCTGAAATGTTAATTGTTACAGCAAGTAAACTAGTATGAAATCTGGTGCAATGTCTCATTGGAAGCCTGAAATGTTAATTGTTACAGCAAGTAAACTAGTTTGAAATCTGGTGCAATATCCCACATGAAACCCTGAAATGTTAATTGTTACAGCAAGTAAACTAGTTTGAAATCTGGTGCAATGTCTCATTGGAAACCTGAAATTTTTTTTGTTACAGCAAGTAAACTAGTATGAAATCTGGTGCAATGTCTCATATGAAACCTGAATTTTTTTTTTTTATTTTGTTACAGCAAGTAAACTAAAGGTTTGGGAAAGGTTCGTTTACTTTAGAATGTTATTGGCTACAATTACCAACTTCTCAGCTCCAGTCATAAATACTGTCTCTGGAATTTAAGAGTTAACTAACTTGATAAAGACTTATTACAGCAACCACTGCAAGAACAGAGAGTTAAAAGTTAATATGGAACAAAACAAAAATATACGGGTTATCGGTTGTGTGTTTGTTGCACTGTTTGTTATCGTAAGAGCTACTCGGTTGTTTTTAAATGAAAATGTTAATGAGTTGTCTACTTTTTTCAGTTCAATTTCACTTTCAAGAAGGTACATGGCCACTGAAGTTGTAAGCCAAGGATTTAATTTTATTTATTGTACCAGGCATGTGATAAGAAGACCATTTGTTTTGTAAACATTTTAGGAATGTTTTCAAGGATAACAACCGATACAAAACAAATCTTTCTTACTGTGTTGTTAGTGAACCATTCAATGTCCCCTTCATTTCCTGTATAGAAAAAAATGGGCCCTCCATTATGATTCCAAAACTGGTCAGATACCAGGTAGCGCTGCTTGAAAGTTCCACCATTTGCAAAACCAAAGTGATCGATCTGGAATGGCACAGAGTCAAGCAGCAAATACTAGTTCAACTCACAGTAAACAATGATCTGATTATCTTAAGCTAATCAATGTTCATGAGGTCATAAAACAAAATGGTGCCATCTCCACAATAAAGGTTGGCTGCTGACTATGGCAATATTATCTGGTGAGGTCCTAGTCTCTTCCACAGTGTGATTCTTGTAACACACAAAAAACCCTGAATACTAATTTTTTTTTCAAAACCACCTACTGCAGGAATTAAACCCTGCTACATCAAGGGTTGCATTGTGAAACTACTTCACTAACCTTAATGCAACTGAACCATATGAATTCATAAAGGTTGGCTCTCCTAACTTCGTCCCCATATTATGGTGGCCAAAAAAATACCCTAACAGGGCCTCAGTCGTGTGTAAAAGCAGACTTCCTCCGACGAACACATCGTGGCAAAACTAGGATTACTGTCCGCTGACAATTTTGAGAAATGCAACAATACACACCATAACAGCGACATGGCGGGGAGACTACGCAGGTTAGTGATAGTGTTCTTCTAATTAAACTCACCGCTACATGTGGTGTGGATGGGGGAGGGGGTTAAACTAGATAGGTGGGACTCACGAGCAGCAGCTACTGCATCTCCTGCAACTTCCTCCATTTATTTGCTCGTGAGTCCCAGCAATCTAGTTCCCCCCCCCCATCCGCATAGCGTGTAACGGCACGGAGAATACTGTCAGTGGTGCGGTATAGTCACAGAAACAAACCCGCAATTTACATATCGCTGAGACCCTGTTAGAGTATTTGTTTGCCCTCAACAATATTGGCCCGTTATTCGGAGGCAATTCTATTTTTGCTGAGATTTGTTCCTTTGCAGGCACTCCGCATTTTACACACGACCAAGGCCATGTTAGAGTATTTGTTTGGCCGCCATAATATGAGGACGAAGTTGGGAGGAGAGCCTAAAGGTTTCCCAATAAAAAGACATAAAGGTATCCGGGCTCTCCTTTGAATAATGGTCCCAAATGATCTACGCAGAAAGTGAACCCAAACAGAGCCTCACTCATATCTAAAATTCGCATTTCTTTTGCGACGAATCAACCATGTCGAAAGTAGGATTAATTGCGCAGGACATTTTCGTAAAACGCAACGGATTTTTTTACGGCGATTACACGGCAGCAAAACTAGGATTACCTACGGACAAAAAAAATTAGTGACACGCGAGAATACTCCTGATAGCGCTATCCTACGGCAGTCCCAGCCATCTAGTTTAGCCCCTTCCGCGCCGCGCATAGCGGCACAGGGGATACTCTCGGAGGTGGCACTATAGTCGCCGGGAAAAAAAGTCTACAATTTACAGGAGCTACTTTTTCTGTCGGAAGTACCAGCATGCTCGCATTCGCCACGGTCAAGTGGTGGTCGGGATAGTGGAGCGCCATCGTGGCGGCTGCTGGTTTGAAGTTGTCCTGAGGCGACATGCGCATCCATTAAACCGGGCATTTAAATCATGTCTCGCCCGGAACGAGAATCGCGGACAAGCCGTGCTGAGTTGCAATGGCAGACAGCGAGACAGAACAGGTTATCGCGCACTATTTGCAACCTCTGTGCTACAATTTTCACATATAAAGGATTTAATTTTTGGTAAGTAGTAGACTTTGCTCTTTTCCTTACACTTTTCGTTCCTAATTTTTTCCGAGTTACAGCTTTTAAATGTTTGTAGGGCAGGACGTAATGAGGCTCTGTTAGGGTTAACTTTCTGCATAGGTCATTTGGGACTGTTATTCAAAGGAGAGCCGGTATCCTGAAGCTGTGACTGTTAGGAGTGTCAAGTATTAGCCTTCACATATTGTAAATCACAACGTTGGGGACTGGGTGCGGGGGGAAGAATCTTCTGTGTATTTGTTCTAATTCCAATGTGGTGTATAACTGCTAAAAGTAAAAGCTGGTTGTCATTTTCATTTCTCAAAGGCTGTTACTACTGGTTAGCGATGTAGGCTCTACTTGGAATAACGGTTCTAAATGAACTACACAGAAAGTTAATCCCAAACAGAGCCTCATTACGTCCTGCCCTACAAATATTTCAATATGGGGTCAGTAACGTGAAAAATGGAACTAAACTAGATGGCTAGGACTCACGAGCAAATACATTGGAGGAAGCTGCAGGAGCGGCGGTAGCTGCTGCTCGTGAGTACCAGCCATCTAGTTTAGCTCCCTCCGTGCCGCGCGTAGCGGCGTGGGGGATACTCTCGGAGGTGGCACTATAGTCGGCGAAAAGCGATCAGCAACTTACACATAACTCGGGCCCTGCCGTAGGATAGTGCTATCGGGAGTATTGTCACGTGTTGGTAATTTTTTCGTATGCAGTTAATCCAAGTTTTGCCGCCATCCAATCGCCCTAAAAAATCAGTGGCGTTCCGCGAAAATGTCCTGCGCAGTTAATACTACTTTTGACACGGTTGAATCGCCGCAAAAGAAATGCGACTTTTACATATGTGTGAGGCTCTGTTCGGGTTAACTGTCTGCGTTGTGAGGCTCTGTTTGGGTTAACTTTCTGCGAAGTTCATTTAGAACCGTTATTCCAAGTAGAGCCGCGATGTATTTGTGTCACTCCTTCTCTCTGTGGCCATTATATTTCGTTAGTATGGATTTCTGTGGCATTTGCTATCTGGAAATTCTTGTCAGATGGCTAAATTAAGTAGCTGGTTAGTACTGACCGCTGTACGCACAGTTATATAAGTGCAAGACTTACCCTCTGGTTAAAGAAATATGTAGTGTAGGAGAACCCGTTGCCCAGGGGAGCTTGCACCAACTTTCCTTGTCGAAGTGGAGGTAGCAGCGAAATAGGTCTGTTTGGTCGCCATGATTCCACACCGCACATTAAAAATGCGCTAATTAAGAAGAATATCATTTTGTTAAACTCAATAAATACGCGTTGTCAGTTAAATATTCCTTGGAGTCGTCATACGGAGTTTGAAAATGGTCATTAGGAGGTTGCCGACGGCCTGCTGTCAGTTTTTGTTGTGGAGCACAAATCATGTGATCTTGCTGGTCACGTGACCGCCGGCCTTCACTAGAACAGTCCCCTAGCCAGGGATGCCAATACTTGAGTTTTCCCTTCAATATCTGGATTTTTATTCGACACCTTGGGTTCAGATTTTGAAATCTTAGGGTTTTTTTTTTTAAAGATGAATTTGAAGTTTTTATTTGAAGATAAATTCGCGACAGGCCCGGCAGGTCGGCGGAGAATTCAGCGGTTCAAAAAAGAAATGCTCAAGATGAAAATAGGAGGTTTTGGAAATAGGGCAAAAATAGAGGTTAATAGAAGGTTAAGACCAGGGTAAGGACAATCAATTTTTGTGGACGGGACAATAAAGCAGAACATGTAACAGAATCAATGGAGAAATATAATGCTAAAATATTAGGCTTATCAGAAGTGAGAATCAAAGGTCGAGGAATGGAGAAACTACATAACAATTACGTTTTGATTCAATCAGGAGTAGGGGGAATACAACGTGCAAGGCAGGGGGTAGGATTTATCATCGATCCTAAACTACACAAAATATACTGAAGGTTAACTACATTTCCAAAAGAATTATCAGCTTGACATTACAAACAGGAAATAGTTCGGAGGTTTTTCCCCCCCTCAAATATATGCTCCATGCAATGAAAATTACAATGAGGAGGATTTAGATCAACTCTTTGAGGACCTGGATGATGAAATGTTTAAGATAGATAATAATGAGAAAGCTGACCATGATGGGTGATTTTAATGGTAACACAGGACAAGACAGAAGAACATTTACAAGATACCTAGGCAATTATGGAGACAACAGCATGAGAAATTAAAATGGCGAAAGACTGTTAGATATATGTGCACAATATGACCTTGTTATTACCAACACCTTCTTTCAACATAGAGCTTCACAAGTTTTTACATGGTATAAATGGAATGATCCAGATACTAAGCTGAGTTGAGTTAAGAATTGACATCACAGCACTCGGGGCATTTCCATGCGGTCCCCATCTTCAGCAGCCAGAGCAGAGTTCCAATACTGATGGTACCGGTCACAATCTGGTTAAATGTCCGTCTTGCCTTTCCTCTGACTGTAGTGAGCCGGCAAGACCTTCTGGTTACACCCAGGTGCCTAATTCTCTCCAGGCCATAATAATCTTCTTCCTCTACTGATTCCGTTGCTTGTTCCCAAAGGGCCTTGACCACATCTGCCTTGTCATATATCAATTCACAACCCAGTGGTGCAGATCCAGCCAATCTGTCTGACTGTTCGTTACCCACCACGCCGGCATTGCCTGGAGAAAAGATCTAAATATGCTCACTACCCGTTACCTTTCCAGTGAAGCATGTCACTCTGTTAGAAGCATCCCTGTCTTCACATTTCTCAGCATGCTTTCAGAATCTGTTACAATTACGTCAAGTGCATGCATCTTGTTCTCTAGCCACCGGATAGCTGCAGTTACCGCCTCCACCGCCATTCTCGTGAAAGATGTGGTGTCATATGCTATGCTGTCTTGCACTAAAGATTTTCCATTTGCTTTCGCTACGAACCGACAGGCACTTCTCTTTCCTCTCAACATGGAACCATCGGTATAGATAATCGGATTAACTGGGCGTGAATTGTCGTGAAGCAACTGTTGGACTTTAACCTCCGAAGCACCCGTTGGACACTCTCTGCACAATGTGATGATAACCCTACTCAGGTCAGACTTTTCATCTGGTACTCTGACCCACTCCTCTCCTCACCCAATTTCATCCAGCATGCATACTTGACTTTTGCGTGAGTCATCTACGATTTCCCCTTGGGCCTCTCCCCAATGCCCCTAGAATCTCTCGTGGCGAGGACAGCAGCTCGACTAGCGCTGTAAGAAAGTGGAGTGGGTTTGTATCCCAGGATATCAACGAAAAGAGCGTGGTCCCACTATCTTTGTTCATTAAAGATTGTGTGTGTGTGTTCCGCCGGTATTTGGTTTGAGCGTGTAGTTTTGTCTGTTATCGGCCTACGATACGATCCAGATTAAATATAAAATAGAGAAGGTCGCTGACACCTTGTTGTGGTGGGAGAGCTTGAGACTCGGTGATCTAGTGAGCTATGCTGGCGGTGACGTATATTCCTGCAGGGTCACCCAAGCCGGACAGGTCATTGGTGAGGGCACAGACTAAAGATTGCCTCCCGGTCCTCCAGGCTCGGGGGTTGGGCGCAGTGTTGACAGCTCTGCCCTGTTTGAAAAAAAAAAAAAACTACAACGTTATAGAAACTTCAAGAGGAAATAAGTGCTCTAAACGTCCGGCGGTCTTGGGACAGAGTCCCTCTGTCAGCATGAACAACATGGGTGAAAGTCGAAAGGAAGCCCATGATGGAAAACAAGTCTACTGGACGTCAAACCCAAATTATAAATTGGCTTCTCGAATGTAAGAACCATGTTTGAAACGGCTAAAACCACCCAAGCAATTAACGAATTTCAGAACTATAAACTGCATATTCTTTGAATCAGTGAAAGCAGTGGACAGGGTTTGGACAATCCACAACAGGTACAGGAGAAACCATAATATACTCTGGAAGAGATGATAACCTACATTCTACAGGCGTGGCACTTATTTTAAAGAAAGGTATACACAAACATCTCATGGAGTGGCATCCAATCAATGAAAGAATATGAAAGAACGATTCAATGGGAAACATGGAAAACTTACAGTCATCCAATGACACACACCAGCTAATGAAGCTGAAGACGAAGATAAGGAAACATTCTTTAGAAGACTGCGGGAAGTAGTAGATAAAGTAACAGCCTATGATATTCTTTGCATTATGGGAGATCTCAGAGCAAAAGAGTAAAGAGGAACAGCTGAGAACATCTTCACCGTACGCAACATTTTAGAACAATGCAACAAATGGCAAAGAAGTATATTTATCAACTGTGATGACTATGAGAAAGCTTTTGACAGCGTCTATAGAAACAGTCTCTGGAACATATTACGAAATTATAGAATTCCAAAAAAGATAGTCAACATAATTTATATCTTCTAGAAAGTCTGTTCTTGCAGTGTTAAAAATTTCAACACATCTTTCCCAGTAAAGACAGGTGTGAGACAGGGATGAGATAGGTCATCCATTTTTTTTAACCTTATGATTGATTGGATACTAAAGAACACAGTAGACAGGACATTAAGAGGCATACCATTGACTCCCTTCACCATGCTTGAGGACCTTGATTTTGCAGATGATATAGCACTCCTATCACATAAACATGAACATATACAAGAGAAAAGTAACATACTACACAGAACAGCAGAAACAGTGGGACTGGGAATAAATACAAGGAAAACTATGATCATGACAAAAAGTCCAAATCAACAACTAGTGACCATAAATACCCGAACACTTGAAAATGTAGAATATTTCACATATCTTGGCAGTGTGGTGTCCCTACAGGAATGGACAGAGGAAGACATACAGTCACGCCTGAACAAAGCTAGAGCTGCTTTTGGAAGGATGAGGCCAATCTAGGATTCCAACAGTTACTGCAGAGGAACGAAACTCCGACTCTACAAGAGCATCATTTTGCAGTTCTTCATTATGGGGCAGAATGCTGGAGAATGACCAAAAAGAAAGCGCACTAGCTTCCACCTTACATGTCTACGTAGAATTATCAAAATTTTCTGGCCAGATACAATCTCAAACACTAAACTACGTCAAGTCACAAACCAAGAAACTGTAGACAGTATGATAACCAAGAGAAGATTGCAATGGCTTGGCCCCGTTATAAGAATGAATCCTGGTATACCTGCCAAAACAGCTCTCACATGGACATCGTATAAGAACGATGGAAAGTGAACTGAGTGCGGCATCTCTGCCATGGAAAACTGCACTAAAGATTGCACAGGACAGGAAATCATAAAAAGTCTCATCTAAAGCCCCATGTGCCACCAGGCAAAAAGAGAATGATTAATGGTATGGGTATCCACTCACCATTGATCACTGGCATCATGAGAGCTTCCAGATTAAAATGGCCGGGGCATATTGAGAGAATGTCAAATGATAGAGAAGTAAAAACTGTACACACAAGTGAGCCTTATGGTCGTAGACTACGAGGCAGAACAAGAGGACTATGGAGAAAAATTATGTCCAGACAGACCTACAAACACTTGCTGTCACCGACTGAAAAGAAAAGGACAACTAGATAGATAAGTGGAGCCAGTTGATATCTGCAGCAATGAATCTCAAGGGCTCTGAATGCTGAAGAAGACGAAATACAGGGGTTAGCCCCAAATACCCGATGTGCCTCAAGCATTGAACGGGATCCTTTCAATGGCTGAGAAAGTGTACAATCGCCTATGCCAGTCAGTGGGGCCACCCAAGTGCCCTCACTCTCCACAACTGGGAGAGAAGATTGCATCAGTGGCCGCCCTTCGGCCCAGACTGACAACATGGCCGCTTTCAGGGGCGCACGGCTGGGACTGCAATGCAAGGTCGTTTGTCAAACATCGGTCCGACACGGCGAATTCTTGGCTAGTGATTTATCTAAACGTCTCCACGTTTCCTGCAGATTTATACAGCTGCTATTAAATAAGCAAAATAAAGGTTGGTCATTTTCTAATCAACAATGCATCCACCACTCGCATGTTTTTTCTGCGTTTTTTAGTTTCTGTTATTTTTAATACAAACTTTTACTTTTACGTTTGTGAAAATACATAAATATATTAGACAGTTTTGCACGACTAAAACCATAAAACGAGTTCATTACGTTCATATCATATAGCTTCAAAAAGTAATCCAGTGCTAACTTTAACTTACACAGTCTGAGTCAGACAGTTCTTGGCTGCCCAGTTCTTAAAAAACACTCCATTCGCCAGTTTATTTGGCTCTCCTCCGAACGGCGTCATAATATTATGGCGGCAACAAAATATCCAAATGGGGCTCAGGCATATCTAAAATACGGACTTTCTGCCAAGGAACGAATCGCGGCAAAACTAGGATTACTTGACAATATCAACATTGCACACGGTAGTAGCAGACGATAAATACCGACCGTTGACAATTTCGAGTGTTTCCTGCAGACGATACTAGCAGACGATATTAGCGACCGTTGACAATTTCGAGACATTACAGATGATGAAAGCGATATGGCGGGTAGACCATACGCTCCCACTCAGATTAGCAATACTGTTCGTCCGATTGAGGATTTAGCAGCGGTAGATGTCAGACCTGACGACCTGCATGCGCAAAACGCGATTAAACTTACCGCCGAGCGTATCCCCTGCGCCGCGATAGGGTGCTAAACTAGGTAGCTGCGGTAGCTGCTGCTCGTGAATCCCAGCCATCTAGTTTAGCCCCCATCCGCGCAGGCACGGGGGATACGGTCGGCGTTGAGGCACAGTCACAGAAATAGGTCCGCAAGTAACATATCGCTGAGACCCTGTTAGAGCATTTGTTTCGTTATACAGAGCTGGCATATTTTTAATACAACTGAGCCCCGCTCGGATATTTTATGGCCGCCATAATTTTATGAGGCCGTTCGGAGGAGAGCCGTTTATTTAATTAATTATTTATTTGTTGGGGATTGTAATGATTATTGTTAAAAATAAATAATGTTAAAATACTTGATCAAGCCAGTTCAATCCACAATTTCAGACTTGAGAGGCCAGCGACCAGCAGTCAGCACACAAGTAAGACAGTTGGCAAAATCTGTAGACTGTAGGTAATAAATTGAGTGTGCACGCAAAACTCAAGTTCTGGAACAACTTGTTTAAACAAGACTAAAGTAAAGTTCAGAAGTAAGTGGACAGTACAAACTACTAGAATGTTCTGCCAAAGTTTACAGTTACAACCAGTGAACATGAAGAAGAAGAAATGAAATGAGTACATGGCAATACTTTGAACCAACTGTGACCCTGCGGAAGACAATATATTTGTCAGTGGCGGCCATAGGGGACACAATCTGTTGTTTCTTTACATTTGCATTATAATGTTCTTTAACCCTTTGGAGACGGAGCCTTTTTAGAGTTTCGGTGCCAAGAAGACGGCGCCATCAGAAGGGGATTCTTATAGTTTAAACACAAAAAATTATGAAAAATAAAGCGTTTAATTAACATGTACAAAACTATATATATTCATGTAGGAAATTGAATGAACTAACAGAATACTTATAATTCAAACTGAAATCTCAAAATGTTTAAAAAAAAATTTTGATTTGCGTTATGCAAGCAATTTTAATAAAACTTGGAAACAAAGATAACTAACCTGAAACATTTGGGTGAATTTTTGTTATGGATGAATCTTGAATAAATTCTAACACCCACCATTTTGGGAAGTGAGGCCCTTGCTGGCTTTCTTAATTGACTGCTTGCATCAGCAGTGAGCTGCATTCTGGTGTGAGACTATTAGTATTGGCACATCTGTTGTCTGCCTTATGCATTTCTTTTGGGTGTATGAACTTCAAGACTTTGCTAGGACTAGCATGTTTATTTTTACTAGATTGCAAATGAGACAGTGAAGGAAATGTTATGTCATCTCCACTGGCGTGGTTTTAGGGCAACCTGTGTAAAGTGAAGTTGGAGCCTCGACTAACAACAGCAATGAAATGGTGCTAGAATTCACATCTGGACTCCAGTGGCTGTTCTCGTAGACCTGTTGCAGCACTGAAAACTTACAGTAAAAGTTTCACTAAACTTGAAACAGAACTTTGTGCAAGTCTGTTGTTCTTCAAGATTCCTAATTGCAGAACCTTTCAACAGTAGCCAGCTGAACAACACATGCCATTGCTTTAGCAGAAGTACATTGACTAACCATTGACTGTGGCCCTATTGTCAGATATTAGACTGCAAGTAAATGGTCATTTCTACACTGACTACACTTGGCTGTTGCGCTTCATTGTGGTGTCGTTTTAAAGGTCCAGTTTTTAAAGTGTTTTAAAACTGATTTTGTGTCTATATACTTCTTTCTTCTCGTCGACTCACTGATTCCAGGTTGTAGCTGAGTGTCGTGGTTTTCTGTATTTGTCTTGTACTTCTCCGGTGGCTTATGGATTTGTTCATTGTATTTCAGGTTTCAGCATCACCATTTATCCATCTCTTTCTTGGTCTCCCTGCCTTCCTCCCAAATGTTCTGCTGCAAAAAATCTCGTGTGCGGTTTGCCCTGGCTGCATTTTCACGAAATGGCCGAACCATTTCGACTGTTTCATTCTTTGTTTATCAGAGTAATTCAGACACAGTCTTTTTCCAACTTTCTGTGTAATGCTGATATTCGTAACCATGTTGCTTCATGTGTGTTTCTATATGTATAACATACAAAAATGTACGTGTGCACAGAGTAAATGATTGGCTAGTGGGCAGATTAAAAGTTAGAGTTAGCTGCGTAACCATTACAAGTCATTGCAGAACCAGTCCCAATATTTTTTGGCCCTTTGTGGTTTCACTAGGCAGTTCTACATTGAGTAGTTTGCCATTGTTTTCTAAACAGTCAGCTCTCAATACCACTGTTGAAAGCAGTGCAAGGCGGTCTGCTGTCAAACTGCCCACAACTATCCAACTTTTCTTCATGAAAATAAAAACTTCACATTTCAATATTTTCAGTCTTGCAGCCAAACGTTGACCTGTTGGCTCCGTGCTCAGCTTCCAGTTTCCACACTTCAGTGCACCGTTACAAGAGAGATTATTATGAAGTTCTGGGAATACCCAAAAATGCAGATGCGGCAGCCATCAAAAAGGCATATTATAAGGTTTGTTGGTCAGATCTTTCTTTTATCTGTAATCTGTCTTTCATTCTTTTCTCGTTTCTTTTGCTTTTCCTCAATCTCTTTTATCTAATTCTAATGACACTGTTTTTACATTGACTCATTATGTGCTCTATCCTTTGCCAGCTTCGCTATTATAGTAAAAGTTACACTGTTATCAGCACTTCTGAATGTGTGCCCTATCCATCGCTAGCATCTTCTCCTCGACTCTTGATTCGTTTAAATTAAATTTTTAAAATAACTTTTGGAACCAGGGAACATTTTATGCGTTGATTTATATCTGATTTTATTGTCTTCTTGTAGCAATAAAGCTCCAAATTGATTATTGTGCCTGCCATATTATTTGTATTCTTTCCATTTCTGTGTATGCACCGGTTAATGATTATGCTGACTTAGTCGCTCCTCTTCTACCTTGAGGTGTAGAGGTTTGCCAGAGAGATCGCCAGACTTTTCTGTCAGCAGTTTTCTTTTGGCTTTGTTTCATTTGAATCCTCTTTCAGTCAGAAAGTGTCGGATGTTGTCTTTCCAGCAAACCTTTTGTCGTCCTGATGGTCAGGTACCTGGCCTGCCGTAGTGGCCGATTATTGTCCATTCTGCACACATGTCCAAATCATCATAACTGAGTGATCCACTCAAGTTTGTAAGGCTTGGGTGTCAAGATATTGACATATTGTTTGGTTGCAAACTTTGTCACCTGGACCACCCTTCTCAGATATTTCATTTATGAGGCCTGACAGTTCATGAATTTTTGTAGTTTATTGCCATTTATTTGAGTCTTGTCCATCACCTAACTTAAACAGCATTTCTCATTTACTATCTGTGAAATCCACTCATAAATTGACAAATTATATATATAAATATATATATATTGTGTGTAGATGTTGCTTACTTTGTTCAAATTATACCATATATTTTGTGTGTGTAGATGTTGCATATTTTGTTCAAATTATACAATATATTTTGTGTGTGTAGATGTGTCATACTTTATTCAAATTATACAATATATTTTGTGTGTGTAGGTGTTGCATACTTTGTTCAAATTATACCATATATTTTGTGTGTGTAGATGTTGCATACTTTGTTCTCTATCCCCAGCTGGCCAAACAGTACCATCCAGACATGAACAACAAAGATCCAAATGCAGCGAAAAAATTCCAAGAGGTCTCAGAGGCATATGAGGTTAGTGTTATTTGTGAGATATGTGCTATGTATAAGTCTTGTGACTGGCAAGCCTCGGGTTCACTGAATAGTATTTGTGGGCATGCAGGTTCTTCCTCCGATGTTTCCTGCAGCTTTAGAACACAGGATTGTCCTTGTGACACTTGTTCCCTGTTTCTGTCTCTCTCTTATCCTCTCCTGCAGCTCCCCGCTTTGTGTGTCTTTGTGTGTGTCTGTCTCTCCGTCAGAGATAAGAAAAACAGTATATTAGACAGGCCTGCATGGTCAACTCTGAAATCTTTAAAATTAAAGTTTGTTCATAGAACGAACAAACTTTTAGTTATCCTCCGAATAACGGGCACAAATGATGGCGGCCGCAAAAACAAACTAACAGTGCCTCAGTCACGTGTCTGTTGTGCATTTCAGCAACTTAATTTGCGGTTTTCCAGCGATTACCGCCACCGCATCTTCTGCAGCTTTGCTCGTGAGTCCTAGCCAACTAGTTTAGCTCCAATCCAAGCCGCGCGAGCGGCGTGGGGTATCTTGGCGGTGGCGGTAGTCGTCGGAAAACCGCAAATCAAGTCGCCGAAAGTGTGCAATTGACACGTGACTAAGCCCTTTTATTGGCCGCCATCTTTTGTGCCCGTTATTCTGAGGATAGTCACACTTTTTTTCAAAGGGTCACAAATTGGGCACACAGGCCTGTCTTACATTCGGCCCTTCTAAACACCCGTCTTTCACACAGCAGTTGTATTTTTTCAGTAAAGCATGTTATGTTCATGTAATAATATGCATGTTAGAATATCAAGAAAAAACACAAAAGCATGGTTAGTAAAATAAATGCATACATATTACATACACAGATATTTACAGACACACATGCAGACATGAACAGACACACACACATGCAGATACCCGTACAAACACTCATACATACACAAAGTAGCCTACACATACATACCATACATTTACATGTCACATATACATGCATATCATACCCACCTTTTTTAATAATTAATCTTTAAGGCAATATGGGCCAATAATTACATTTAAGGTGGCATATAATCATTTGTAATCATGAACTTAAAAAGGTTTGCGGTTAAATGAATAGGAACTCTTTGTATTTTTCAGATCAAGTGATAAATGATTACACAAATGAGCAACAGAATATGCTAAACTTGTTTTAAATAAATCATTTCTAAGTTTAGTAAATGTAATAAACTTAGTTGCTTGCTGTTCGTAGGATTGGATTCAGCAGTCAACTTGAAAAGGTAGTTTGGAAAACTTTGAGAAAACATTTTACAAATGACTTTAGCCTTTTAAAAAATTATTCATTTACTAAATGGCAGAAGTATTAGATGGCTGTAGAGATGATTTTTATCTATATGTTTTCTATCTGAACCAGTCGCAAAGCGCGATTTTGAAGGTAACTTAGTCTTTTAACATTAGATTTGATGCAACCATCCCAAACTGTTAAACAATAGTCGACATGTGTTTGGATGTAGGATGCGTAAAATATTTTTTTATCTTATGAATATTAGCAGGCAGTTAGAAGCTTTTATGCTATTTTTCTTTGTTGATGAGTTAGCAAAGTAGAATGTCTCCTGTAGACAAATGTGATGTGAGAGGTTGTAATTGCTGGTCTCCTGTGTTGGCAGGTGTTGAGTGATGACACCAAGAAAAGAGAATATGACACCTACGGCATGGGAGGCCCTTCAGGGGCAGGGACAGGCCAACAGACTGGAGGCTTCAGGGCACAGCAAGGATTTTCAGGTGTGTACTTACTGTATGTGAGCCAAAGGGCCAAAGGGATTATATGCTTATCTACTGACTCTCTTGCCTGGGGTTCTGTCACAAGTAGCTGCAAGTTTGCATAGTTGGGCTCATTAACTCTTTTAGTACTGGTGACAGTTAAGTTAGTAATAAATCAATAAATGGTGGCTTTTTTTTTGTAGCCAGATAGTTGAATATATTTTGTGTGAATGTAGAGTGGTGCTAGATTGGGGTAAAGAGGGATTAGAGGAGCTTGAGCATAAGAATTAGGGCCACATGGCTAGTGCAGGAATTAGGGCCGCATGGCCTAGTGCAAGAATTAGGGCCGCATGGCTAGTGCAAGAATTAGGGCCGCATGGCTAGTGCAAGAATTAGGGCCACATGGCTAGTGCAGGAATAAGGGCCGCATGGCTAGTGCAAGAATTAGGGCTGCATTGCTTAGTGCAAGAATTAGGGCCGCATGGCTTAGTGCAAGAATTAGGGCCGCATTGCTTAGTGCAAGAATTAGGACCGCATTGCTTAGTGCAAGAATTAGGGTCACATGGCTTAGTGCAAGAATTAGGGTCACATGGCTAGTGCAAGAATTAGGGCCACATGGCTTGCAAGAATTAGGGCCGCATTGCTTAGTGCAAGAATTAGGGCCGCATTGCTTAGTGCAAGAATTAGGGCCACATGGCTTTTGCAGTCCCCTCAGACTGCATGCTAGGATTTGTATTGTGTCCCCCAGACAGAAACAATATCTGTTACTTTTATTTTTTAAGGATTGCCACCTGCATCTTCTGCATGAGAAAGCTAAAAAAAAAAAACACATTTCAGCACAAACTGGCAGGATGTAATTGTTGTATGCTGATAGATGTATGATCTAGCTTGATGTACTTGTCAATGTCTCCATAAGACTGCTTGTTTGTCCTCCTTTGCCTCACATACCCCATTGAAGTGTTTGCCCTCAACCAATGAAGTAGTTCATTTTTGTATGTGGCTCAGTCTGTTAAGAGGATGAGGTAGCCAGACTCTAAAGACTAACCCTTCCTTAATGACCTCCTTCTACATGCTTGTTGGTGTTTGTACTGTCCTTGCTGTCCTTCGGCTAACACACATACCCTGACAGTTATAATATAAAATATGGCCAATCCATACTGGGGATGGAAATCACTTCTCATGCTGGAACCCAAAAAATGCTTTAAAGAAAGTGAAATGATTCTTCTTCTTTACGTTCATGGCTGTAAACTCTGGAGAAAAGTTCTGGCTTTTGGTCTTGTTCCATTTTACAGATCTGGCTTATTTGTATGCAGCCTGTTGGCTTTTTGTTGTTTTGTCTGTGTGCCTCTCAGGCAGATGCACTCTGACTTCGAGGGAACCACCCATAATTAGTAATATCCTACAACAGCTCACCACCCCCCCCCCCCACCCAAGGTTCCCCGGAACTGACATGGGGCAGTGGGACAGTCCCCCCCCCACCCCACCCAAGGTTCCCCAGAACTGACATGGGGCAGTGGGACAGCCCCTCCCCCCACCCAAGGTTCCCCAGAACTGACATGGGGCAGTGGGACAGTCTCCCCCCCCACCCAAGGTTCCCCAGAACTGACATGGGGCAGTGGGACAGTTCCACCCCTCCCCCCACCCAAGGTTCCCCAGAACTGACATGGGTCAGTGGGACAGTTCAACCCCTCCCCCACCCAAGGTTCCCCAGAACTGACATGGTGCAGTGGGACAGTCCCCCCCCCCCACCCAAGGTTCCCCAGAACTGACATGGGGCAGTGGGGCAGTTCCACCCCTCCCCCCACACAAGGTTCCCCAGAACTGACATGGGGCAGTGGGACAGTTCTCCTCCCCCCCCCCCCCCACCCAAGGTTCCCCAGAACTGACATGGGGCAGTGGGACAGTTCCACTTCCCCCCTCCCCCTACCCAAGGCTCCCCAGAACTGACATGGGGCAGTGGGACAGTTCCACCCCCCCCCCCCCCACCCAAGGTTCCCCAGAACTGACATGGGGCAGTGGGACAGCCCCTCCCCATCCAAGTGACCCAGAACTTACATGGTGAAGTGTAATGATTGAACTTGTTTATTAATTGCAGGCTTTGAGAACTTTCAGAGTCAGATGGACCCAGAGGAACTATTCAGAAGAATATTTGGCAGTGCAGGGATGGGTGGGTTTGGATTTTCCAATCAAGATTTTGAGGAGTCCATGCATGGGTTTGCCCCATCTTCAGAGGTAATGGTCCAGGTGTTGGCGGTGCGACTGTCTGACATTTTGTAATGTATTCTTTCAGTCTTATTCGTGTTCACATTCACCAGCTGTAAACTGATGGAAAGTTTTGGTTGTTTGTCCTTTCTGGACTGCAGTCCTGTTCCCATTCCTGAGTCTTGCACGTCCATTTGACACTTCTGACTCGTTTGTGTGCAGGCTTTTGGTTCCTTGCCTTTCAGGCAGATGCAGTTGAAGGAAGCTCCCCGTCAACTTTTACGACATGCTTTTGGTTAGGCAGTGGGTCTATTTTTTTTTTTCTACAATAGGGCTCAAGAACCCTCATGGGGAACTCTTTTATTGACAGTAGTTTGTTTCAAAATAGCCAAGGGAACAGTAACGACGATGAAAAAAATCAAGTCTGCTACTCTGGTTGAGGCAACCGTAAATAAAATATACAGCATATTAAAGAAACTAGTCGGATTTGTGTAGAATGTTCAGACCAGATATAGTATATATAACACACCAAGCAGTATGTGAACACTGATGGCTTTGTTGCTTACAGAAAAGATTTTGGTTTTGTGAGGCAAAAGCAGCCTTTATATTCTCATTTTGTTGACTTTAAAAACAATCCGTATTTTTTTAGTATTGTCTGTTCTAGGATCTAACTGTCCAGTTATGCTGTTTTCTGGGTGTTTTTTTTTGTCTTACAAAAAAATCACAGCACCCTAATAGCAGCACTCTTGCCTGCTGACCTGGTTGTCTTGCCCTGGAATCCCCATCAGATCTAGCCTTTAATGTAAAGAGCAGTAATGGCAGCTGCCGGATACTGAATTATTCCCCATAGAGCAGCGACTGGTCTGTAGAAATGTGCAGCTGCCTAATAGACTTGAAGGCATTGTGATCTTTTGCTGTGATTATTGACCAAGTCTTACTTTGGTAATATCAGTTGTGTTTTGGTTTTTAGTTGAAATGTGTGTATTTGAACAGAAGTGATGTATCCCTCCATTAATCAGTCTCCATCAGTCTCTCTCTCATTGGTTGCCTCCTGCAGCAACATTTCTAGGTTACAAGATGATCATTCTTTGTTTGCCCTGTGGAGCCAGGTCACACAATAATACATTTGTGTGTCTGCTGTATGATCATCTTCAGTTTTCTTCATCTTTATCGTGTGCCCTGCCGAGCGGCATAGACTTTCATGTATTATCACAGTCCCTTGTCCTCAGGACCAGTTTCACCTATGATATCCCTCTGTCGTAATCCATCTGTCATCATCTCTCTGTCTGCCTCTTCCTGTTCTGCGGTTGCTTTTCTCAGTCATTAAAACATTCTCCAAAGCACCCCCACCCCATCACATCACCAAAGGGCAGTGCTTATCTTTTCCTTATAGCTGTATATATTGATCTGCTTTCATTGGCTTCTTCCAAACAATCCTTGTTAGTTACTCAGAGATTCTTAACATTCATCTCAGGAACCCAATCTCAGTATTCACAATTCTGACGACTTTTTTGTTTATTTCCTTAATCAGATCATGATGGATCTCACCTTTCAAGAAGCAGCTCGGGGAGTCAACAAAGAAATTAATCTCAATGTCAAGGACACATGTCCCAAATGCCGAGGCAGTGGGGCAGAACCGGGTTCTTCCCCCACAAAGTGCCCTCAGTGCAACGGGACAGGAATGGTATGTCACTGTGTGTTGTGTTACAGTAAGCTGGTTGTGTCTGTTCTAAACAGATGTTAACTCAGTCTCTGCAGTTGTACGTAATTGACTCTAATGTCATATAAATGCCAGAAACAAATTGCAGAGCATGTTCTTAACAAATGCTCCAACTATGACACAGTGGCACACTTTATGACTTATGACATGTTCGATCTGCATGTATGCTAGGCTGAGACGTCATCAGTTGGGATGGTATTTGCAGCCTTTCCTTGAAATTAATAATTGTTTACAGAAACTTCTCAAACTTAACTCCTGCCCATTTGAATGAAACCAGGCTAACCCCTACACATACTAGTCAGAAGCCAGAATTCTGGTCCTGCTGGGAATTGAACCTAGACTCTGTAGTCTTATAGGCAAGTGACATAACCAGTGTTCTAATCTTTGTTGATTGTGTTCCCTGAACAGTGATTACATTTTTGCTATCAAACAGGAAACAGTATCAACTGGTCCATTCATCATGCGGTCAACATGTAGAAGTTGCTACGGCAAGAAAATTGTAAACAAACATCCGTGTACTGAATGTCACGGCAAGGGAAAGGTCGTTGCCAGGAAGAGAGTAGTGGTTCCTGTGCCAGCAGGTGAGATAACCTTGAACCTTTCTAGAACCTTGAACCTTTCTAGATTGTTCTGTGGCCATGTTTGAATCATTGGGCTCAGTTGGCGGTTTTAGGAGATGTGGCATTGAAGAGTTGATGTTTTGTCTCTATCACTCTTCATTAATCCTGAGGATATCCTGTCTTCTTTAGTTTTGGACACCACAGACAGTCTTTGCTAAACAAAGACCATATTGCTGTGTGCTCTGTGTTAGTTACACATTCTCAGCTTTATACACTGAAGTCTGTTAACATTTTTGTTGTTGTGTGTAATACATCAGTAGGTAAATTTGTTTGTACATAGTTTAGCCAGTAGTTCCTTAAGACCTGTAATAAAACGGAAGCTGAGCCATGGTCATCACATGGCTTTCTTGATCTTCCATTGTGGAGATGTACAGTGTAACTAGGGAAGACAGTGTGATTTATTTGTATGCTTCATATGTTGATGTCACTCGTTGATGTGATGCACTAGACGGGTACAGCAAAATATACCAGGCAATCAAGTGTGCAGTGTATTTTTTCTGCATTGTTTAAATTCCCTATAGGAAAACATTCTTTTGAGTTCTGCACACATTGCAGATGGATCCATTTTTATTTAATTTAAAAAGAATATGCATCTAGTTTTACTCATGTTCCCATTGTGTGGCCAGCTGGTTATACTTGAGTGTCCTCGAATCATTGACAAGCTACTCTATGGTGTTATAGCATTATTAGCCATTTCTGCTAGCTCTGTATGGTTTTCTCAAGCTTATAGCTAATGCTTTTTAATTTTATACTTATGAATGACACAATGAACCCTTGAAAATTGAAGGCCAGATTACAATCTGAAAACAGGAAAAACCTAAATGGATTGGTGAGTTTTGTATTTTATTTGTTCTGGAATCTCCATTCAGGTCGGATGACTGTCTCAGTTTGGAGAATCTAATTTGGACTAGTTACAGGGGGTGGGCTGGAGAGAAGACAAAGTATGCTGGACACCCATCGGCAACTTTGTGAAGAAAGCATTTGATCTGTTGTGGTCATGTGTAGTTAAATCATTCGTCTGATTGTTTTGATCTACACTAGGTGTGGAAGATGGACAGACTGTACGAATGCCAGTTGGAGGCCAAGAAGTGTTTATTACATTTAAAGTAAGCCCTGCTGTTTGTCTGATGTCTGTGTGATGTCTGTCACGTTGAGTGCAAGTAGTTCTCAGTGACTGCTAATACTGAGAGCCAACTCATAACTATTAGCTCTGTTTGTGTGTTCCAGCTTGCCTGTTTGGCTGAGAGGAAAGAAGTCACCTTCTGGTCCTCAGCAAGTCTGTCGTGAAAGACAACTAAACTAGTTGAGGGTTTTCTGAAGTCAGCTGTAGTGGGTAGAAAGGCAGCTCTGTTATTGTCTGCCTTCTTGTCTTCATGCCAGCTGTTAGCTATTTGTTGTCACCTAAGGGAGTCGCTGTGGCAGAGCAGCTAGATGGGAGGTCGTGGGTTTGCTCCCAGGTTGACCCAGCCATAAGTGGGTACCGGGTGCAGTCTTGGGAAGTAAAGGTAGCTGGCATGATGCTGACCACATCACATATCTTATTCCGATTGTTCTTTAAAATATAGGTCTAGCCCTATATGCCCTATACATCTAAAGGTGTGATAAGGGTCCTTTACTTATTGTCGACAACAATGTCAGGCATCGTCTGCAGCTGAGATTGACCCTGGCATTATGAATCACGTTCACAACGCCTAAGCTACAGACAGCTTTTTTAAATCGTAATTTTTATAAAACCATGAGTGTAAGATCAAGACAGTCAAACGGTGAAGGAGAATCCAATGAACATAATCATTGCTGAAATAGTAGACACTAACAAATACCAGCAATCAGATAAGCTGCTTGATGAGATCCGAAGCAACAAGTCAAGGAAAAATGCCAAAGAACTTTTGCCAAAGTTGTACAGAGTTAAGACTTGTACTTTCTTTCTGATTGTTCTTGAGTAAATCTAAATGAATGGGATCTGTTTGTTGTTCTAGGTAGCAAAGAGCAAGATTTTCCGCAGGGAGGGGGCTGATGTACACAGTGAAGTCACTATTAGTTTGTCCCAGGCCGTGCTCGGAGGCTCCATCAGAGTTCCTGGTATATATGATGATATTCTTCTTAGCGTAAGTATGATTTTCAGGCGTGTTTCAAAGTTTCATTTTGAATTGCATTCCATAGCCATCTTCATTGCATTTCAAATTTTTTATGAGTGTTTTGGGTGCTTTTTAAAAATCATTCTAGGAGGCTTACAGCCGCGGACATAAACTTCATGCTACTGTCAGCCATCCTGGCATATGTGTAACAGCACGCTGCAGGAAGTTAGCTGTTGTGAGCAGGTTTTGAGATGGTGGAGTGCAGCTGCAGCATGACCTGTTTGGCATAACATTTAATGAATTTTCAGCCTCACATAAACATTTGTGAATATGTTCAAATGCCCCCACCCGACCCTACTTTTCCTACGTGAAACATCTAATCCACCAGCCAGAGTTAAGGGAGAGTATAAGCATCAACTTATTCATTATGTTCTGTCTCTCAGTCATCATTCATTATGTTCTGTCTCTCATTCATCATTCATTATGTTTTGTCTCTCAGTCATCATTCATTGTGTTCTGTCTCTCAGTCATCATTCATTATGTTCTGTCTCTCAGTCATCATTCATTATGTTCTGTCTCTCAGTCATCATTCATTATGTTCTGTCTCTCAGTCATCATTCATTATGTTTTGTCTCTCAGTCATCATTCATTATGTTTTGTCTCTCATTCATCATTCATTATGTTTTGTCTCTCAGTCATCATTCATTATGTTCTGTCTCTCATTCATCATTCATTATGTTTTGTCTCTCAGTCATCATTCATTATGTTTTGTCTCTCATTCATCATTCATTATGTTTTGTCTCTCAGTCATCATTCATTATGTTCTGTCTCTCATTCATCATTCATTATGTTTTGTCTCTCAGTCATCATTCATTGTGTTCTGTCTCTCAGTCATCATTCATTATGTTTTGTCTCTCAGTCATCATTCATTATGTTTTGTCTCTCAGTCATCATTCATTATGTTCTGTCTCTCAGTCATCATTCATTATGTTCTGTCTCTCAGTCATCATTCATTGTGTTCTGTCTCTCAGTCATCATTCATTATGTTCTGTCTCTCAGTCATCATTCATTATGTTCTGTCTCTCAGTCATCATTCATTATGTTCTGTCTCTCAGTCATCATTCCTTGTGCTGGTATGCCATTATCTGTCACACAGGGCTCACACTCTATTTCTCCATTCCGTTCTGTTCTGTGCAATATGTTCTCTATGGATGGTCCCGGTGTTTGGCTTCTCTCATCACCATTCATTTTGGGTTTCTTTTGGGCATCCACATGTTCTCAATCCCTTTATTTCTAATTTTAAAGCCTGTTTGCTGATTCTCTGCTTGTTTCGTCTCAGAATGTTTCCAATGCAGTGCCATCTTTTCCGTCTTATAACTGTTGTCAGTGGTTGCTAAAGTGTGACTAAAGAACAGTTTTTGTCAATTTATTATAGTCGCATGTGATATATTTCATTCACCTTTTCCAGAGTCTCATAAATAGACATAGGGGGAACCCTTGAAGCCTTAGAAATATAAAATATATAATGAACAAAGAGACAATGTGTTAAATATTCTACATGTCCAGCGTATTTTCTACATAAGGAATATGCATATATCTACTCGCAGATCCCAGCTGGCACCTCTTCCCATCACCGCATCAGACTTGCTGGTAAAGGCATCTGTCGAGTCAACAGCTACGGCTATGGGGACCATTACATCCATGTGAAGATCCGTGTGCCTGTGTAAGTTTTATGTTCCGTCTCAATACATCAACAACTTCAGGGCTCATTTAGGTGTGTCTCAAAATACTAGATGTTTCATAATTAGCTTTCCTAAATCTTTTGCTACGTTTATTTTAAATTGCAGTCGTTGAAATGTTCTTCAAATGCCCCATATTTTATTGAATGCTGTGAGGATATTTCTTTAATTGCCCAATAGTTCTAACATACAGATTTAGATTTCCCTGAATGCTCCTTTATATTGAACATTTTTACGTTTTCTCTCACTCAGTACTCTCAATTGTGGATCAGAGATTAAAGTTGTCAACAAAACATTTAAACATGTGAGCCTGCTTGTCTGTTAAGCAACTCTGCAGCTCAGCGATGGAACTATCTTCGTCAACAAATAAAAAATTAAAAAAAATCAGTAGTCCCTACACATACAGTCGGAAACTGTTAGAAAATGATCTATTCTGATGTTGAAATGTTCCAGAAAATGATCTGTTCTGATGTTGAAATGTTCCAGAAAATGATCTGTTCTGATGTTGAAATGTTCCAGAAAATGATCTGTTCTGATATTGAAATGTTCCAGAAAATGATCTATTCTGATGTTGAAATGTTCCATAAAATGATCTGTTCTGATGTTGAAATGTTCCAGAAAATGATCTGTTCTGATGTTGAAATGTTCCAGAAAATGATCTGTTCTGATGTTGAATGTTCCAGAAAATGATCTGTTCTGATATTGAAATGTTCCAGAAAATGATCTATTCTGATGTTGAAATGTTCCAGAAAATGATCTGTTCTGATGTTGAAATGTTCCAGAAAATGATCTGTTCTGATGTTGAAATGTTCCAGAAAATGATCTGTTCTGATGTTGAAATGTTCCAGAAAATGATCTGTTCTGATGTTGAAATGTTCCAGAAAATTGACAGAGGAGCAAAAGCTGCTGATGCAGGCATTTGCAGAAACAGAGAAGGATGTGGAGGGCACCGTTGATGGGATGGCACAGACCAGGAATGGTTAGTAGTTTCATTGTTCTTCTTCTTTTTCTTCTTCTCTTTCACCTTGTATCTCATCGAAGTGTCGGGGGGAGATGTAATGTTCGTTGATGAGCTCTATCAAGAGCACTATTAAGACTGATGTTCATTTCTGTAAGGCTGTTCTTAATGCCATCACTCCATATCTTCCGAGGTCTTCCACTCGCTCTATACCCTTTGTAACTTTTTAGTGTGGCTCGCTGTGGCAGATAGTACCAGGGCATTCTTTTTAGGTGTCCAAATCACTTCATGTGTTGTTCTTTGATGACCTATAAGACTGGCTTTATTCCTACCATTTGTTTGATTTCATGATTTCGTATTCTATGTTTCCTTAAAACTCCTGCAGCTATTCTAAGGCATTTCATCTCTGTTGTCACAATTTTACGTTCATATGAGGATGTAAGTGTCCACGTTTGGCATTGATAGCATACTATTGGCCAAAAAATAGTTCTGATAAGATTCACTTTAGTACTCCGAGGTATCTGCTTGTGTGTCAACAGGGGAGATAGTTGCCCCATTACTTGATTAGCTTTGGCACATCTGAAGCTAATTTCTCTGTCCAGTTTTCCGTCGGATGTGAAAATTGCTCCCAAATACTTAAATTCCTCTGTTTGTCTCAGGGTGTTGTTTTTTAATTTTATTTCTAAATTGTCTTTATGTCTTCCTATCATCATCGTCTCTGCCTTCGTAGTGTTTATTTTCATATTATATTCCTCCCCTTTGTCACTAATTTGATTTAGGTAGTTGTGTAGGCATTCCGTAATTTTCTGCTATGAGTACCTGGTCGTCGGCGAATAGTAATTCTGTAAACTTCTTCATGATAAAAGTTTGTATCGCTACATATGGTATCCATGTATGTTATAAAAAGAAGCGGCGATAGTACACAGCCCTGACGCACACCAGAGTTCACTTGAGGAAAATGTCATCTTCAGTTTTGTCACATTCACTTAAGTCTTGTCATGTTCCTTTCTGTCACATTCATTCATTCTTGTCATGTTCATTTGTGTCCTGATTCAGTTATTCTTTTCATGTTCATTTCTGTCATATTTAGTCATTCTTATCATGTTCATTTCTATCACATTCAGTTATTCTTGTCATATATCGCAGCTTTTTTTTTATATATATATATATATATATATATATATATATATATATATATATATATATATATATATCGATCAAGTTTGGTTATTCTTGTCATGTTCATTTCTGTCACATTCGGTTATTCTTGTCATATATATGTATATATATCGGTCACGTTCGGTTATTCTTGTCATGCTCATTTCTGTCATATTTAGTCATTCTTGTCATGTTCGTTTCTGTCACATTATTCATTCTTTTCATGTTAATTTCTGTCACATTCGGTTATTCTTGTAATGTTCATCTCTGTCACATTTAATTAGTCTTGTCACCTTCAATCTTGCCACAGACAAGTGTTATCTTCCTATGGTGTTGGTAATGACACACAACAAGTGTAATCCCTGTGTCACCTTCTGTTTGCGGGGGAGGAGTGGGTTGGGGACAGTACACCCACTACCCCCTAAAAAGCATGGGGTAAAACAATACTGATGAGTATTGACATCATCATCATGTGTTGGGGCCAAAAGGCACATAACACAGCCTATTTGTAAACCACAACACAAAACTAACTGCCCATGGAGAATGCAGAAGAAGAAAAAGTATTATGTTTCTGTAACTATTTATAGTGACACAATTCAGGAAAAGATCATCCTGAACTGTGACCTGTTGAGTTGAGTCAACACTTGACATCACAGCACTCAGGGCTTTCCCATGCATGCTCTGTCCTCATCTTCAGCAGCCAGCGCTGAGTTCCAATACTGGTGGTACTTTTACCTGTTGTTGCCATTATTCTGTAAGGTTAGTTGACCAGCTCTGTGTCTGTTTCCTGTCATTTTCCCAACATTTTCCTAATGGATTCTCTGCAGAAAGTCAGTGTTTTGCTTGACTTTGAACTTGTTAACATTTGCTGTGATTGGTTCTGCAATGTCCCATACATGATGCACAGCTACTTATTTAAACAGATTTGGGGGATGGGTGCAAAAGGTTTAAGACACAAATTGAGGTACCATGAAATAATGTTTGTATGAAACATAAAAATTAAGAGGGAAAAGCAGTTCCCTCCCTCCTCCACAATTCATGAAATTTTAATAGATGAGTTTCACCACAGTAATGCTGCACACTGATCACAAGTTGTGTTATGTTACCATAGAGCTCCCACCGTTGGTGGTCAGGGATTGTCAAAGTCTGGACAGACAAGCACACAGAAGACAGTAAAAAAAGATGGTAACTTGTAGCATCATTAGAATAGAGACAGGCTTGTAAATATTATAAGCTAGAAATGCCTGTTTGAGAATGTGATCCGAGCACTGGTGCGCATATTGCTAGCCCCTCACTCGGCACAATCAGATAAGCAACAGTGATCCAAGCACTGGTGCGCACATTGCTAGCCCATCACTGGACACAATCAGATAGTCAACAGTGATCCGAGCACTGGTGTGCATATTGCTAGCCCATCACTGGATACCATCAGATAAGCAACAGTGATATGTTTGCCGTAGCCAGATGCGAGCTCTCATGACTCACTAGTAGTTCATGAAGTAGAGTCTCTGCCGAACATCTTGCAGGAGAGCACTGCTGCATCGGACTGTCTTGGCGATTGTCTCGTTATTCTTTGAGTTTATGGATGTAAAAAGCCATGTCAGTGAAGTGTTGGTGGTGCTGCTTTTTCTATAGGGCTTGCAGAATTATGGTCAGGGGTTCAAATCCCAAAGGCAGCAGGATATTTATCTTTGTCTCCTAACGAGAGTGGCCATGTTCTCAACTCAGCCTCATAAGACTGGTGGCCAGGATCTATCTGGGGCTGTAGAGGACAGCCGCTCACCCACAACAATAAGGGCTTTCATACCATGAACCCAGTGTCTGGCGTAAGTGGCGGTTAGTGTAGAGGACAGCCGCTCACCCACAACAATTAAGGCTTTCAGACTATGAACCACCCGGTTAGTGTAGAGGACAGCCGCTCACCCACAACCTAAGGCTTTCAGATTATGAACCCAGTGTCTGGTGTAAGTGACGGTTAGTGTAGAGGACAGCCGCTCACCCACAACAATTAAGGCTTTCAGATTATGAACCCAGTGTCTGGTGTAAGTGACGGTTAGTGTAGAGGACAGCCGCTCATCCACAACAATTAAGGCTTTCAGACTATGAAACCAGTGTCTGGCGTAAGTGGCGGTTAGTGTAGAGGACAGCCGCTCACCCACAACAATTAAGGCTTTCAGACTATGAACCCAGTGCCTGGCGTAAGTGACGGTTAGTGTAGAGGACAGCCGCTCACCCACAACAATTAAGGCTTTCAAACTATGAACCCAGTGCCAAATGTCAGTTGCCAAATGTTTCAGACTCCACTGTGAGGTGACCTTTACCTGTATAGCTGCTGTTGCCAGATGGGCCATATAATGAATGTTGTGATGGCAAGTAATTTTTTCTTCCAATGTGCTTGCTAACCCGAGACCTTTCCATTCTGTTTCAGGTGGAAAGGACTCGGGTGAGCCAGTGATGGGAGAGTCCATGCCACCAGAAGGGGAGGAAACCTTTTTCTCCATGCTAAAGAGAAAATTATTTGGATAGACAGTTTATTTTGGAATCTAGTAAAGTTTAGTACATTATAAAATTCTAAGCTGTCATCAGTGCTGTCAGCCCAACAGCTAGCGTCATAAATATTTATTTATTTGCTTACATAATTTCTTTACTTTCAACTGTGAACTATTTCTAAATCGCTGTTAAAAAAGTACCTCAATTTTTGTCTAGCCTGAGAGAATCATAAATGATGAAAATCGAATTCTGACCACTCTCCACATTTTTCCAGAAGTGTCAGCAATTCATATTTTATGGACGCTTATAGGTTTCATCTTTTGGTTGCAGTTTCATCAACACTGAATATATGACTTGTTTGTATGGAGAAGCTGTTTGATTCTATGTTTTGGCACGTAAACACGTCAGAAAGCAGGCCATGCTGCCGCATGGTCAGACCCCAGTGTGTTTTTCTCTGGGCTCTTCTTCTGCCTGGTAATCTGGTAATTTATCCTCGGCCTAGTGGAGCATAGACCCTCAATCAGCTCATGCCAGGCCCTTTGTTGACCTGTTTATGTGATTAGTTGGATGTTGTGGCTTCAATTTTCTGTGGAGTGGATTAGCTAGTCTTTAGCCAGAAGCCTTCTTTAATCTGCTTGTTAGTCCAGCTGAATACATTTCTTAGTTAACTGTTCTTTATTCCCTACATCAGTGCTGGTCATCTAGGGAAACCAGAATCATGTCGCAGGCAGATTCAGTGTCTTTGAACCCATGGGTATGAATCAGTCTACCCTGCACCGTGGGACAATCTGATATTTTTTACTAATGTACAAGTGATCATGTATTCAGACTCTGATAGCGCTGCCATTAATTCATAGACGTATCTGTGTTAAGTTGTAATGTATGACAGTAGTATCTGAAGAGACTTAACCAAGAGATTTCTGCAGGCATGCGTGCGATAGATGACCCCGCCGGGAGACTTGCTTACATTCGAGAGCTGCTGACCTCCAGAATCAAGAGGCACACTTCCGGAAGCGCGTCCAGCAAGGCGTCGGAGTCAGATGATTTAGGCGAAGCTATGGGCAAGAAGACTTAACCCTGGCATGTTTTTGTTTATCTAGTTAATTCTTCTGAAATAATCATGTGATGCTTTTTAATTCAGTCATTTACATTTTACATGCTTAAGAAAAGATGTTTTAAAGGGCAATATTACTACTAGGCTGTGTTGTAATGCACAAATAATTTCATTGTCTCCTGCTCCAGGTTAGCTTATATGAAACTCTTATATGAGCAACTGTGACAGTCCCTTTTCATCTGCATCTTCCTTTTTGTTTTCCTTGCTATTTTAGAGGCTCTTTTAATGCTTCTTATGCTTTATGTGAACAGTTAGGCCCTTCATAACACCTGCCTTTTCTATCTTTTTTTTTTCTTCCTTGTTCCTTTTCCTGTCAAACATTTTAGTGTCAAGTAGAGATATTGAATAATGAGGTCCATTCAAAAAGTATCCTCCATCTTGGTGGGAAAGATAGTTTTCCACTTTAAGTCTGTTTGGGACTTCACATACTAGTCTCAATGGTTCCACTTCTGGAAGCTTTTAGAACAAACTCACACACAGAAGTATTTGTTGTCCTGTTGCCAGCTGGCATTTAGCAGTTCATGGACATGGCAGTAGATTGCAGATAATTCAAGAGTTTGATGATGATGATGCCTGTGTACAAAGAAAATGCTTGGGGAAGAGGGGGTGGGCAGAGTACTGTCATGTTAGATGCACATTTGCAGTCACTGAAAGTGGCAGGAGACCTCATGTGGCTAGTTCCATGCCTTCTGCATGTATTTGTTGTTGAGAAAGTTCTGGTGCTGATTTCATGAGGCGGAGTTAGGTGTCTTGGAGCCATGTTCTCTTGTGGTAGTTAAGGCTGGCTGTCTTCACTTGACATTAGAGTCTGTTCTCTGTTGGCAGTTTTGCATAACTTTAATTGAGGTTAAAGTGTTCTCTGTTGGCAGTTGGGACATCTTATACTAGTTTCTTCTCTGTTTGGACTGTCTTTACTTAGGATTAGAGTCCGTTTTTTGTTGGCACTTAAAGCTGTCTTCTGTTGGTGATTGAATCTGTGCGGATTGAACCAGCAGCTGCGAACAAGCTTGTGAACTCTTGTACCAGCTCAAGCTCAGTAATTTAACATTTCTAATGAGAGCAATCCTGTTTTGTCATTTCACAGTGTTGGTTGATAAGATTGCCATGTTTGTATTGATTGTACGGCATACTGTGTGTGGGGAGTTTTTGCATAACATTACCCTACATGAGTTTATAGTCATGTAAGTAAAGATCCCTTTAGGCGCATCAGCCATATGGGAAGAGCACCCATATTTTTACAGACCATTCGGCACTAGGTGGGTAATGAGGTCAGCATTACGCCGGCCATCTTTACTTCCCCAGGACATACATCCTGGTACCCATTTTAGGTTGGGCCCACCTGCGATGCCTCATACCACGATAAAAATCCACACAATGGTCATGTGTTAAAAATTTTTTGAGCTTTGTTTTCTGGTTGAATTCTCCCCCATCCCCTATCTTTTGGTTACTATTTTTTTTAAATAGGGGGTGGGGGAGGGGCGTTTTTGTATTAAGATGTTAGATAGAACAACATTTCTATAAACCAGCTTTGTTTGTGCTGTTTTATTGTCTTTTTGACATGACATGTTGACTACTGCTCTCATCACATCTAGTGTCTGACCTCTTGTGGCCAACAGTTCTCAGATTTGGCAGCTCCTGCCAGCCCGCTTCCTAGACCACAATCCCAGCACTTCACACACACAAACGCACATCTCTTCCTGTGTTACAGTTTTGTTGCACTTTCAGTGCCACACCTCCACCAGTAATTTCTCCCAGTGTTGGAACCCTCGATGAAGATGTCACTACTTGAAATGTCTTGAGTTGTCCTTGGCTATAAATCTGGCAAACTTCTCATTGTTTGATTAAATTATAGCACCCATACCATTTTTAAAAATTAAGCTGAAGAGTGAATGCTTGCCCAAGCAGTCACTAGATTATCTAGGATTAAACACCAGTCACTTGCCATTACAAATTATTATGTAATATCTGTCCGTTTCTGGTGCCACTGTCATCCTTTCACATTGTTGAGCTGGATTATTCTTTCTCGAGTTCTTGTTTTTGATGTGAAAGTGTCATTTCTGATCATTCCTGCTTTGTTAGCTTAAAATATTTGCTTATTTTCACAGGAAGTACTTTATTGTGGCAAACTACTGGACGTAAAATTTGCATAGAAAAACCACAACAAAAATATACTGTTCTTCATGGCACTGTTGTATTTTTCTGGGTTTTTCCCCTGCAAGACTTGTAACCCTCCCATCTGCCTCACTTCGACCACTCACCTTCAGTTATTCCTATTCACTTTAGGGTAGACAGTGTAAATACCATGTTAACAGAAGCCTTACTGTGTGAATGGGTGTCTGGGGTATGTGTTTGTGTGTAAGCCTGCGCGCTGTGACCTTTCTGTTAATGAAGTAAATTAAACAGACATGAACGTGAAGAAGTGTCTTCTGTTTTCTGTCAGTTTCTCTGAGGAAAGGAGCAGAGCCATAGATGTACTCTGCCTGTCTCTTCAGTCCTGCATCTTCATTTTTTTTTCTTTCTGGTTGCCTGAGACATAAAAAAAAGCTTGCATCTGTCAGAATGAGATTGCAGAATTGTCTCCCCAGCCAGGAGTCAAGGAATGAGATTGCAGAATTGTCTCCCCAGCCAGGAGTCAAGGAATGAGATTGCAGAATTGTCTCCCCAGCCAGGAGTCAAGGAATTAGATTGCAGAATTGTCTCCCCAGCCTGTAGTCAAGGAATGAGATTGCAGAATTGTCTCCCCAGCCTGTAGTCAAAGAATGAGATTGCAGAATTGTCTCCCCAGCCTGTAGTCAAAGAATGAGATTGCAGAATTGTCTCCCCAGCCTGTAGTCAAAGAATGAGATTGCAGAATTGTCTCCCCAGCCTGTAGTCAAAGAATAAGATTGCAGAATTGTCTCCCCAGCCTGTAGTCAAAGAATGAGATTGCAGAATTGTCTCCCTAGCCTGTAGTCAAAGAATGAGATTGTAGAATTGTCTCCCCAGCCTGTAGTCAAAGAATGAGATTGCAGAATTGTCTCCCCAGCCTGTAGTCAAAGAATGAGATTGCCGAATTGTCTCCCCAGCCAGGAGTCAAGGAATGAGAATGCAGAATTGTCTCCCCAGGCTGTAGTCAAGGAATGAGATTGCAGCATTGTCTCCCCAGCCTGTAGTCAAGGAATGAGATCGCAGAATTGTCTCCCCAGGCAGGAGTCAAGGAATGAGATTGCAGAATTGTCTCCCCAGCCAGGAGTCAAGGAATGGGATTGCAGAATTGTCTCCCCAGCCAGGAGTCAAAGAATGAGATTGCCGAATTGTCTCCCCAGCCAGGAGTCAAGGAATGAGGTCGTAGAATTGTCTCCCCAGCCAGGAGTCAAGGAATGAGATCACAGAATTGTTTCCCCAGCCAGGAGTCAAAGAATGAGATCAAAGAATTGTTTCCCCAGCCAGGAGTCAAAGAATGAGATTGCAGAATTGTCTCCCCAGCCTGTAGTCAAGGAATGAGATTGCAGAATTGTCTCCCCAGCCTGTAGTTAAAGAATGAGATTGCAGAATTGTCTCCCCAGCCAGGAGTCAAGGAATGAGATTGCAGAATTGTCTCCCCAGCCAGGAGTCAAGGAATGAGATTGCAGAATTGTCTGCCCGGCCAGGAGTCAAGGAATGAGATTGCAGAATTGTCTCCTCAGCCAGGAGTCAAGGACCTCCAGCCTGGTGACTATATTGTGTAGCCACCCTTCCATCTCCAGACAACTCTCGGCAGGGTGTGTCCGACACAGAAGTAATGGTGATTCACGTCTGCAGATAGGCTGGTGATCTGTAGAAAATTGGCCACCCTTCCATCTCGAGACAACACTCGGCAGGGTGTGTCCGACACAGAAGTAGTGGTGATTCATGTCTGCAGATAGGCTGGTGATCTGTAGAAAATTGGCCACCCTTCCATCTCGAGACAACACTCGGCAGGGTATGTTCGACGCATAAGTAATGGTGATTCACGTCTGCAGATAAGCTGGTGATCTGTTGAATATTGGCCACAACTGGAGGCCTCCCCTTGTGGGTTCCAGAGCCCCATTTTAGGGAAAACAAGAATTAAACCACTGCCTCCCAACAAGCATGTCATAAGAGTCGACTAATTGGAGGCTTCCTTCAGAGTTGGAGTGCATCTGCCTGAGAGGCAAGGAACCAACAGTCTACAAAGGGTGATCTATGTCTGCAGCTACCTTGAGATATGACTTCGCCTGCAGCACTTTGTGCCTACCTGCGACAGTCGGCAAACCAAGGATGAATCGCATACACACCACTGGGATGTTTCTGGTACAACCCAGAAATACTTGCATAGCTGCGTTCTGTATACACTCTGTTTGTCCATCTGACTCTTTGAAATGGTAAGCAGTCATGGGCCATAATCAATCCCTGAAAGAATCAGGTGCTGATATAGTGTGAATAGCATTCTCTGCTCTATGTCTTTTGCAGCCATAGTCAAGTGAATTGAGTCCTTTTTAGCATCTTGTTACAACCATCCCCACATGGTCCTTGAAGGACAGGCTCATGTCTAATTGATTCCCAAGTACTTCAGTTTGCTCTCTCTGTTGACGTTTCTACCATCTATAGTAAGACCCAGGACATCAGTTCTAACGATCCTGTTGTCTAGAGAACACCACAACACAGACGCCCATTCTGGATAGACGACAGCACTAATTTCTGTAAATCAGTCAGTCACTCTGTTGCTGCAGCTCCTGTGCTGTTTGTTGCCTCTCACTCCCCTGCCTATATACGAGCACATCATCTGCAACTTCCAACTCATTGTGCTTCTAAACTTGCAATTTTGATCACATACACTTTAAAGAGCACAGACAGGATAGTCAGCTATAATGCGTAGTTCCAAGATCCATGAAACCAGACGGAGAGCAACCGGACGTGTATACAGGACAGCCGCCATCAAATTCACCAACCAAGGACTGACCCCCTTCTCACTCAGTAAAAAA